CCACTCGCCGGCTCACCCGGCTAACGATGTTAAACCTAAATGACAATGCCGTTCGTAATTTGATGCCCTCTTGCCAATTTAAGAAACCTAACGACTTTAAACCTTGGAAGTAACGCCATCAGTGTCCTGGATCCGATCACGTCTCTGAGGGATCTCAAAGTATTAGATCTAAATAATAATAGCATAAGCGATGTCAGTCCACTTGCCTCTTTGACGCAGCTTGACACTTTGAATCTAAGTGCCAATACCATTAGCGATGTCGAACCTCTTGCGGCGTTGATAAATCTGGCAACGTTACGCCTTGCGGAGAATCCTATTCTGGATACGACCGTGCTGTATCCCTTAACGCAGCGTGTGCCACCTGTTGATATCGACATCTCGGTTTCTCAGTACCCGCCATGGGATGTTAACCAAGACGGTCGTGTGAATGCCATCGATTCCGCGCTCGTCACGGCAGCATTGGGGCAAAGTGGGGACGATATAGTTCTCCCGCGCACAGATGTTAACGGGGATGGGACTGTTGATAACGCAGATGTCTTGCTCGTTACAGAGAACTTTGACGAGAATGCTGCGGGTGCTCCCGTCAATTGTGGATATCTTAGCAGGATTGCGTCCGCTGGATCGCGAGATGCTGGAAGCACAACTGGAGATATTGATTTCTGAAAGTGATGGTTCACTGAAATACCCTACGTACTATTGCCCTCCTACAAAGTCTTTTGACAGAGCTACATCCAGATAAAACGCGCCTGTTCGCGAACTACCCGAATCCGTTTAATCCAGAGACATGGATTCCGTATCAGTTAGCGGACAGTAGTGATGTGCAGATTTTCATCTATGATGTGCGTGGTGCTGTTATCCGTCACTTAAAACTTGGGCATCAGCCAGCAGGTTATTACATAGAGAGAAAACATGCGGCGCATTGGGATGGCCGAAATGCTATGGGTGAGAGCGTTGCGAGTGGTATCTATTTCTATCAATTGCAGACAGATAATATATCGCTTCTCAGGGAAATGGTGACTGAAGTATGTGCTGATTTTGGGGAACACTTTTGCTTCCGTTATAGCATAGACGGGGATCCCTATTCAGTGCATTTAATTCTAAATCTCACTATAAAAAAAGGAGAAACATCTATAGTGTTATCAAGTCGATTGGCATTTTTCTTATGTATCTTAACCCTCCTATTTGCAGACCTCCTCTGTTTGCCTTGGACTGCCACGGCGCAATCCAATCAGCTCAATTGATAAGCCTCCCTATCCAAGAATTGTGCCAAATGCTTTTATCGTCTATGGGCGAGCACCGACCCAAGAGGACGCAGGCATCACAAAGGATGTCCGCTACAGACAGACAACAGAAACCCTACCCAACCTAAAGACGTTTTTCGAGTTTGGTGGCACGCTTGAGACTGCTCACAACAACGCTCTTTTTCAGCAAGCACGATATCGTTATCAGTGAAATCATGTGGGGGCTTGATACAGGCTCTCCCCTTGATGCTCATGATCCCTATACGCAGTGGATCGAACTCTACAATCCGCACGTTGGTGCACATATCACAGCTCATCTCTTTTTGCTTTTTACCCCTTTCGAGAATTATCCGGACAGGGATACCGTCGAGCTGCCAAATGGTGTGCAAGCGCGCGTGCTCGACGCTGTCAGCAACTTACACTTAGGCAGATGGAACTTGCCTGGGAGAAGTGGCAGGCGTCCACTCTAGCAGCGTCATTTCAGCGTATCGCGACATCGTTTACCCAGAAGGTGGCACTGGACGATCGGATGTGCCATTCGGTTCGTATAAGGAGAGTTGGAAAGCCACCGTGGCACACGGCCGCCGAAATACGCTACTGAGTATCATTGACGACCGAGGTCGAGTGATAGCACTTCCGTATATCGCGACCCCCGGCGCACCCCATGTGCCAGACACGTTCCTTCTCCCGTTGTCAAAGACGGTGGTGCGTTCGGACCGAGTGGTTATCAACGAGATTCGCAACGATATCTCGCGCGACAACCTCGACTGGGTTGAGTTGAAAAATGTGAGTCGTCTGTCAGTGGATTTGGAAAACTGGGAGTTAAGCATTGTGACAGGCGTCGGTGCGGATACCGATCTGGTAAATCTACCGAGTTACACACTCGACCCTGGAGAGATTCTCCTGCTCCAACGCCGTCATCCAAAGTTTACGGATCTTGCAGACGGTATACATATAGGAAATCCTGATGAACCGAAAAATAGAGGAGCGACGCATAAGTATTTCGTGGACCCCGGTCTTGACTTTCCCAACACCGGTCAGTTCGTCGTCCTTCTCAGAAGCGAGTCGGATAAGAATGGGCAGGACGCAGCAATCGAGGATTACGCAGGCAACGGGTTTTTTCTCGATACCTCCACCGAGTTCAATACGGAATTTTGGCCCCGTAAAGGGACAACAGCGTCCCACGGATGTCGCGAGTTTCGGTAACTATAGTTCATTTGGTTCGCTGGATGGTGCTTGGGCACGGCTGCGCTATCAGAAGATGATGGACACCACAAAGACGCTTGGGAGATAGTTGGCACACAAGGTGGGATTGGATACGCGCCCGGGGCAGACAGATCGGTTTCGCCCGGGACACCGGGGTATGAAAATGACGCACTCAAGACGCGTATAGACGATAAAGCCTTCAGGACTCCCATCACGAGCCGCGAGTACAATAGCGGTGAAATTACAATCAGCGAAATCATGTCTGATGGCGGATCTCGACAGAACAAGGCGCAGTGGATTGAGCTCTACAATAGTTCCTTGACACAGGCAGTTAACCTTGAAGGGTGGGAGTTAGAGATACGTAACCTTAAAGGTGATGCGTTCTCGTATGTCAATGGGCGTTTGATCCTCAACGAAGCGATAATCCTTCCCAACCAGACGCTGCTGCTCGTCTCCAAGAATGCGCCGAATAATGTGCCAGATACCCGCATCTATAATCTCTATAACCAGCATCGGGATCAGTTCCGACAAAGCAATCGACCGGTTTTGCTGCTAAATCCGGCAGGCTTCTCTCTGAAACTGACGGATATAGGGAATCTACGACAGTCAAGCGATGATATCGTGGTAGACGAGGCAGGCAATGTGAGTATAGAAGCTCGTGAACCCACCCGTTTGTGGGATCTGCCGGTGCCGGACCCGTCGGCGCGCCTCTCATTAGTGAGACAATACGGTGCCCCTTTCACACAGGATCAGCGAGATAGTGTTCCAGATAGTGCTGCTGTGGGTACGCTTTCGACAGCATGGAGACAAGCAGATAGGGCGTATGTGAGTGCGGTGTACTATGGGGATACCGGTGATAGGGGAACTCCCGGGTATCGCCGCGGGGGTCCCTTGCCTGTGCATCTGTCGAGTTTCCGTCCAGAACGCACGGAAACAGGGTGTCATTGTCGTGAAATGGTCAACCGAATCGGAGTTGAGCAACGCCGGTTTTAACATCCTACGAAGTGCGAGGAAAACCGGTGAGTTCAGGGTTATCAATGCTGCACTGATCCCCGGTGCAGGCACAAGCGGTGAAAAGCACACATATAGTTTCACCGACACCACGGCTGCGCCAAATGGCACCTACTACTACCAAATAGAGGATGTCTCCTTCGACGGTGTGCGTCGGACGTTGACGACGGTTCGCCTGAAGGGAGAGATGTCTGCAAGTGGCAAACTCACAACGACATGGGGACACCTGAAAACACAAAACTAATTTAACCAAGACTTACGCAGAATTGGGCGGCATGCTTATCTTTTCTGGGAGGGGTTTGTAACCCTAAATTGACACTTACGAGGCGGTTTGAAATCGAACCATAGGTGTCAATTTAAGGACGGGCTTCATCGTAGGTTGGGTTGAACGGGACACTATCGAACTCCCAAGAGGTCAAAGAAAAACGAATCTGAAGCGGGATTTACAGGATTTATAGGATTTACAGGAGGCGAAACCCTTTTTGATTGGAAATTGTTCCTAAGAGTATTACCGAAATACTTTCTGAAACTTCATACATTTTGCGCAACAAAAGCGCAGCATCTGTAAGTCCTAATACACTTCGTCCTACAAAGTCCCTTTATGGAACTCACGCCAATTATATATTTTACCATCACAATCGTGTAAATCTGCTCAATCCTGCAAATCCTGCTTCAGACGAATTAGCCCTCAGCGGTCAGCGATCAGCAAAAGTCGGGAATTGGAGTTCCCTCCTACGGAAGAACTGAATGGCTCTGGTAATTCGACAAAAAGACTTGCAATATCCCGACAAACTATGATAGTATAAATTAAAAACCAGAAAGCCATACGGACATCAGTTGAAACCGTCGCATGAAATACTTCACTTACTCCGGAAATCATCTCATCAACGCGAAACTCCCCGACAATTCAGAGGTCTACTACGCGAAGCCTCCCCTACCGGGTATTAAACGCGCTGCACTGAGTGAACGGACACAGCGTGCTTTTGAAAACCCACTTGAGATGTCCCCGTTACGCGAACTCGTCAACGGCAATTCAAAGGTGCTCATCCTGTTCGATGATAACTGTCAACCTTTCCCACTTACTAAAAAGCCGGATATGCGGCAGATCATGATCGAGACACTCCTGAGGATGCTCTATAGTTACGGCGTGGAGAAAAAGAACATCCAACTGATGTGCGCTGTCGCGTTGCACCGAAAGATGAAAGAAGCACGAACTCGCCTATATGCTCGGAAAAGACATTATGGACGAGTTCTATCCACATCAACTCCGAAATTTCGATGCGGAGGACGCAGAACAGATTGTTCAGGTAGGACACACAGAAAAAGACGAAATCGTCGAGACAGATAAGGCAGTCCTTGAATCCGATCTGGTGATTTACGTTGACATGATACAAATCCCGACTCAACGGTGGGCATAAGTCCGTCGCGGTGGGTCTCGGCACATATAACTCCATCGCACCGCACCACTCGCCGCACATGACATCAGAAAGTCCGCACGTCATGCAACCCGAAGGTTCGCACATGCACGCTTGCATCGAGCGGATGAGCCGTCTTATTCAGAAAGAGACACCCATCTTGGTGCTCGAAGCGGCGATGAACAGTGCGATCTATCCATTTCATCTGCGCTACGTCGGGAAACCGAACCGCGACTGCAACATCGCAGAGAAGGTTCTGAAAACCTTCACACCGGCGACGCTATCGCTGCTGCCTGAATCGTTGCGTTACAAGATTCTCAAGAGCGTACAGACGGACTATGAACCGATACAAATCAACACAGGCGACATCGATGCCGTTCATGCGAAAACGTTAGCGTCAATGAAGGATCAGTTGGCAATAGACATCCCACGACAGTTCAGCACGTTGGTGTTCGGGCTTCCCGATATGAGTCCCTACGCCGTCGATGCGCGTATCAACCCAGTCTTGGTGGTGAGCGACATCTTAGGCTACGTCTTCAATTGGTTCTATAACAAACCCATCATCAAAAAGAACGGTGTTGTTATCATCATGAACCCGACCTACGAGATCTTTCACGAAGAGTATCACGTCGCCTATAAGATGTTTTACGATGAAGTCCTCGCCGAAACGACAGAACCTTTTGAGATGCAACAGAAGTTTCAGGAAAAATACGCAAAGGACGAGTATTTAATCGATTGCTATCGGAACAGATTCGCGCACCACGGTTTCCATCCGTTCACTGTCTGGTATTGGGCGACATATCCACTGAAACATCTCGCGAAGGTGATCCTCGTCGGTCCGAAGGAACCGAGAGTCGCGCAACGGCTCGGTGTTGACTGGGCAAGAAACTTAGACGACGCGCTCGCGATGGCGCGCGAAATCTCTGGGGAAGACGATGTCGTTGCCTTGACGATGCCACCGTTCTTCTACGCAAACGTTGGAGGCTCCAATGATTAAAGATTCTCCTATTGTCGAGGATATCCGACGCATTCGTAACAAGATCTCTGAGAAATTCGATCATGATATAGGTCGCTATATTGCCTACTTGCAAAGTGAGGCAGCTTCACGCCAAGCGAAGAAAGCCGTTCAATGCTCCGATAGTAGTGAAGATGGCATCACCGATGCAAAAATCACGAGTGGATGTGTAAGGAAATCAGCCTGAATTGAACCTGCAAACCTATTAGGGAAAGAACAGAGGAATCTTAATGACGGACACGGACATTTTGATACCCACCAGTACTATCGGAAGTTATGCACCACCGAGTTGGCTGTGCGTGACGTTAGAGGCAATCGGACGCGGAGAATTCGGTGAAACCGACATTAACGAAACCTTCGACGACGCTGTCCGCACCGCTATCGCTGACCAGGAGCGTGCTGGCGTTGACATCATCACAGAAGGTGAGATGCGCCGACAAGACTTCGTGCTCGGCTTCTATGAACGGCTCACTGGGTTAGAACAACTTCCAGCCCCCAGAACACAGGGTCCGGACGGACACGACCAACGCGGCAAATGGTTGCCCTCTGTTCCGCTCGCGGCTCCCGACGGACTCGGTATCCTCGCAGAATTTGAATTCGCGAAAAACGAGACGACGAAACCGCTCAAAGTGACATGTCCCGGTCCGTTCACGCTCTCTGGACGCATTCAGACGGGTGGCATTTATAAAGAACGCCTTGAAGTCGCCTACGCCTGTGCGGAGATTATCAATACAGAACTCCGCCAACTCGTCGCTGCTGGCGCAGAATTCATCCAGTTAGACGAACCCTCTTACGCCGTTTATCCCGATCGTCCCGAAGAGTTCGTCAAACTTTTCAATCACACTGTTGAAGGTTTAGGGCGTAGCTCGCAAGCCCATATTGAACAGTCCGCAAAGATTGGACTGCACATCTGTTTCGGCAACTATCGCGGCAGAGCCGTCGGAAAACGTTCGTATCGTCCGCTCTTTCCCTATATTTTAGACGCAGCCTTCGATCAACTCGCACTGGAGTTCGCAAACCGAGAATTGGCAGAAATCGGATTGTGGAGCGACTTCCCAAACGACAAAGAACTCGCCGCAGGGCTTATCGACGTTAAAAACTACTATGTAGAAACACCAGAGGATGTCGCAGCACTGCTCCGCGAAGCACTCAAGCATGTGCGTCCTGAAAAACTCGCGATTACGCCAGATTGCGGTTTCAGCCAAACCGCGCGGTGGGCAGCTGCCGCCAAACTGAAAACGATGGTAGCCGGTACTGAAATCGTCCGCCGTGAACTCACAGGTAAGCCCGTTTAACTTTAGGTTCGGTTTCCCATTTTAGGAGAAGAGTCGGGAATCGGAGTTCCCTCCTACAGAAGAGTCGGGAATCGGAGTTCCCTCCTACAGGAGAACATACAATTCGGGAATCGGAGTTCCCTCCTACAGAAGAGAGGTAGCACACAATCATGAACACAAATAAGAAGATACCCACACCCGAAGAAATTGAAAAAGAGTTCCAAGAATTCGTACAACAGAAATATGGCGGCAGCGTCCGTTTAATTAACGCATCTGCCGGCGAACCCGCGCCTGAAGCAGAAGAAGAAGTACCTGAACCGAAAAAAAACTTCGATCTGAAATTCGATCTCAAACCGAAGGAGATTAAGCAATATCTCGACCGATACGTGATTCAACAGGACGAGGCAAAGAAGGCACTCGCTATCGCTGTCTGTGACCACTACAACCACGTTCGGGAATGCCATGAAGATCCAACTGCCGCCGATGCTGACTATTCAAAGCAGAACATCGTTATGCTCGGACCAACCGGCGTCGGTAAGACATATCTCATCCGACACATCGCCAAACTCATCGGCGTGCCGTTCGTCAAAGCGGATGCGACTCGATTCAGCGAGACAGGTTACGTTGGTGCGAACGTAGACGACCTAATCCGTGAATTGGTAACCCAAGCCGAAGACAACCTCGAATTGGCGCAATACGGAATCATCTATCTCGACGAAGCGGATAAAATCGCGACACCGCCAAATATCATCGGACGTGATGTGAGTGGGCGCGGTGTACAGATCGGGCTTCTTAAACTGATGGAAGAAACCGAAGTCGACCTACGCGCAGGAAACGATGTCGCCTCACAGATGCGCGCCGCCATGGAATTTCAGAAAAGCGGCAAGGTCGAAAAAGAGGTCATCAACACACGGCACATCCTTTTCATCATCAGCGGTGCGTTCACCGGTATGACAGATATTATCAAGAAACGCTTGCACCAAAGCAAAATCGGTTTCAATGCTGAAATCATCAGCCAAACCGATGATCGGCACAGTATCTCGAGAGCGTCACACCGAAAGACTTCATCGACTTCGGCTTTGAACCCGAATTCATCGGGACGACTCCCAGTCCACGTCATTTGTACGGAACTCGGCGTAGATGACCTCTTCTATATCCTGAAACACTCCGAAGGCTCTATTATTCGGCAATATGAAAACGCTTTTCGCGCGTATGGCATCACAACTCTGTTTTCAGACTGCGGTTTACGACGAATCGCTGAAAAAGCCATTGCGCAAAAAACAGGGGCGCGTGCCTTAATGACGGTTTGCGAAAAGGTTTTGCGCAACTACAAATTTGAACTCCCCTCCACCAGTGTCGAGGAATTTGTTGTCACCGCTGAAGTTGTCGATGCCCCTGACACCGAACTCAAACGGATAATCGAAGATCACAACTACAACCGCAGGATCGTGATGTGTGAACAGGTTCGCCGATATGAGGCACAGTTCTACACAGAACATCAATTGCAAATTCAGTTCGATGACGAAGCGACTGCGCTCATTTGTGAACGTTCGATTGCAAACGAACAAACAGTCCAGCAGGTCTGTGATCAGCTCCTGGGAAGTTACCAACACGGGTTAAACCTAATTAAGCAGAACACAGAACAATCCACATTCACTTTTCCAAAGGCTGTTTTGGAAAACCCAGATCAGGTACTTGAAGAGTGGATTCGTGAGTCGTACACCACAAAACGTTGAGAATGGCAGTCAGCGGTCGGTTTCCATCAGCAGTCAGCAGGGATGGTTTCCGTCAGCCATAAAGCGGAAAGCCATTATAAACAGGACTTACGCAATTTTGAGCATCGCCCGCGCCTTGAAAGAGAGATCGTGTAAAAAACGCAGACGGTTTCTTGACACAACCTAACAGGTTATGCTACAAAAGACCAACGTGCGTAAGTCCTAATAAAAAATTATGAACACCGAACAGAGGAAACCTCAACGCCCTGGGCTGCCGGATATCCAAGAAGTCGGCGCGCCAATCGATGGAAAATCACAGGTTAGCGACCGGCGTTTGTTCTTTCAACTGCATGTCTTTAAAGAATGCTTCGATCATAGACTTATCATTAAAACACTTGAGAAGGGAAACCTAAACGCAGTCCTATACGACGATTTAAACCATCCGACAGGGATCGGTGTGCTTTTCGTCGCAGAAGATCCAGCGGTGTTAATGTCGGAGTCCCGAACCCTACTCGTAAAAGCGCAGGACACGCCTAAGCTTTCATATCGTCCAGAAATGACTATGACAGGTCGAACCTATTCAAGCGGTAGAGAACCCAATCTGGAAGAGTGGCTCCTCAACAGACCCCTCCAAAACGCCCTCAATCCTGATTTTCCGTGGGCGATTTGGTATCCACTGCGCCGAAAATCTGAGTTCTATCGTCTTGAACACCGTGAGCGGGGTCGAATTTTAGGCGAACATGCCTTACTGGGGCGCAGTTACGCCACCGGTGGATATGCCAGTGACATTCGACTCGCATGTTTCGGGTTGGACACACATGACAATGAATTCGTTATCGGATTGGTCGGTCCCGATTTACATCCGTTATCGCGTTTGATACAGGATATGCGTCAAACGGAGCAGACCACTAAATACATCGAATCACTCGGTCCCTTCTTTGTTGGAAAGGTCAGAAAGCGATTTGGTTTAATGGCAGTCAGTAGTCGGTAACCCGTGTGGCAGGTAAGAACGTTTGCAACTGCCAAACGCTTAACTGATAACTGATGACTGATGATTGATGACTGATGATTGATGACTATTAAAAAATGAGAAATATTTTTGCTGTTTGCACAAAAGAACTCTATACCTATTTCGTCTCACCGATCGCCTATTTCGTCTGCTTTGTCTTCACAGCGATTTCGGGCTTCCTGTTTTCCATCCTGCTTATCAGCGCAAGCAACGTCGGCGGGACCGGCGGATACGTGATGGAAACACTCTTCGGTAACATGGCTATCGTCCTCCTTTTTTTACGCCAGTGTTGACAATGAAACTCTTTGCAGAAGAACGGAAATCAGGGACGATTGAGCTACTTCTTACGTCCCCGATTACAGATGGGCAAGTCGTACTCGGCAAATTTTTGGCGAGCGGCACATTGGTGCTTATCATGCTTGGCTTGACCCTTCTGTTTCCACTCCTAACCCAACGCTTCGGTTATTTGGACAGTGGACTCCTGATCAGCGGTTATCTTGGTATCATCCTAATCAGTTCCGCCTTTCTGGCATTAGGCTTGCTGATGTCCTCGATGTGTAAAAATCAACTCGTCGCCGCGTTGACGAGTTTCGGCATTCTCATAACATTATGGGTGATCGGTGCGCTCTCATCTCGCGGTGGACCGATAGCGAAATTCTTGAGTTACCTGTCGCTATCTGAACACTACCGAGATTTCGCACGTGGCATCATCCTTTTGAAAGATGTTATTTACTACGTCAGTTTCACATGTGTCTGCTTATTTGCGACGTTCAAGTCCATTGAATCATCAAAGTGGAGATAGAGCATGGAAGCCAACAAAAGGATTATAGGCCCGATCTTCGGTCTTCTCACGCTAATTTTCAGTTTCATTGCCATCGCTGGTTGGATTTTCCAAGCACGGCTCGTTTTTTGGATCTGCCTCTTACTCGCGCTTGTCTCACTCGCCATTTTTGCACGCTTGCGATTTGCTGATTTTAGGAATTTCTTTATCAGTCGCCAAGCGCGTTACGGAGCGAATGTTGCCCTGAGCATTGTTGGGGTTATTGGGATCGCGGTTTTTGTCAACGCTATCGTCATCCAGCGACTTGATAAAAAAGCAGATTTAACGAAGTTACAGCTTTACACGCTCTCGGAACAAACGAAGACCGTTCTCAAAGACCTTAAAAAGGAAATTCAGATAATAGCGTTTTTCAGCGACGACACCTCACAGTCAGCAGCGCGTGCGAAAGATATATTAGAATTGTACCAGCGTGAAACTGAATTTTTAACCATTTCATTTAAAAATCCTTACATCGACCTTCAACTTAGCGGCAGGTATCAATTGAGATACGATGGAACAATCATTTTTGACAGTGAAGACCGGTACGAAAAAGTCACCACTGTTGAGGAACAGAAATTCACGAGCGCAATTCTTAAACTCATCCGAAACGAAACGAAAAAAGTCTACTTCCTTGTGGGCCACAAAGAACATGAAATCACTGACTTCAATAACGATGGCTATAGTGAAGTGCGGACAGAGTTAGAGAATCAGAACTATGCCGCGTTTTCTCTCTCGCTCTTGACAGAACCGGACATTCCAGCAGATTGTGAGTTACTTGTTATTGCCGGTCCAAAAAACACCTTGACGCCCAATGAAATTGACATAGTGGCGAAATACTTAAAGCGTAGCGGAAAATTGTTCCTGATGCTCGATCCATCGGATGCCTCTGCAGAAGATGTAAATAGAGGGCTCGTTGGACTCATGAAGCGATGGGGGCATCGCGATAGGAAACGATCTTGTCATTGACGAAACCAGTTTTGTCCCGCTGTTCGGACCCCGCGCACCGGTCCCAGGATTTGAATTGCACGAGATTACGCGTTCTATGAGAGATCCCGTAGCATTCCCTGTGACTCGTTCTGTCACACCTATAGCAGATAGAGCCTCGAACCTAAGCGTCAAATCGCTTGCCAAAACTGTCGGCGGAACAGACGACAGCTGGGGCGAAAAACAACGCGGTACTGATGGCACTTTCAGCGGAGCGTTTACCTATACGCTCGGTGCAGACACGCCTCCACCGGTATCCGTTGCCGTCGTCGCTGAGCAAAAAATCGATCAAAATAGCGATGGGACCGCCTCACGCAGTCCGACTCGAATCGTCGTTTTTGGAGACTCAGATTTCGCAGTGAATGCCGTTTTCCGAGAGGCAAACCGCGACCTCTTTCTATCTACACTCAATTGGCTTACATTAGAGGAGGATCTCATCGCGATCCGTCCTATCGACTTACAGGGACAAACGCTGCGCCAAATGCGCGTCCACGATATCCGTTTAGTGCAAATAACATCTGTCTTCCTGATACCTTCAATCGTCTTTATTGCTGGATTAATCGTTTGGTGGCAACGCCGTAAAGGAGAGAACGCGTGAATTTCAGGACTACCCTTATCATTATTTTTCTCCTCGCGGGCATTGGAGGGGCGTACTTCCTGTTTTTCCAAGAATCGCCAGACGAGACATCGTCAAACGAAAAACCGACGATCCATCAGGTCTACGGCATAGCCAGAGAAAAGGTTCAACAGGTAGAAGTCACGTTCGCGGATACGGCATATCAGAATCTGAAATTGGTAAAAGACGCAACGGGTAACTGGCAGCTGGAAAGTCCGTTTCGGTCAGATGCCGACAGCGAAAAAGTGAACCAAATGTTAGATGACATGCTCAATAAACGCGTTAAGCAGACGCTTGAGGTAACAGAGTTGACGCAGTATGGGCTGGATACACCGAGCATAACGCTCTCGCTATGGACAGAAAAGGCATCACCGGCGACAACCTTTTTTATCGGTAAGAAAGCCATTAACTTTTCCGTCTATGCCAAAGAGAGATCTGAAGCACATATCTTTCTGATAGAATCCAGCGCGCTTAACGATCTGACGAAAGCTCCGACAGACCTTCGCGATCAGTCGGTTATTAAGTTCAATGCGGAGACGGTTTCTAACATTCAGTTCTCGCACAAAGATAAAGATTCAACCTCCGGATCAAGCACCATTAATTGTGAAAAGCGATTGGATACGTGGCACGTCACATACCCAATCGAAGCAAAGGCAGATGTCCAAGAAATTGAGAATCTCCTTTCGGAATTGCGTGCATTGCAAGTGTCGACCTTTGAAGCAGACAACACAGCTGCCAACGTTGCCGCGCGGTTAGAAAAGTCCGGTTTAGATACGCCGCGGATCCAAGTGAAACTCACAGATGGAGACAACACCTACGCCCTTGACATCGGTTCGGTAGTTCCGTCAGAGAATGGGACACAAGAGCACGTCTACGTCAAAGCCGTTCCCCAAGAAGCCATCTACACTGTCAGCGATGACATCTATAAACTCCTCAACAAATCTGTTTTCGATCTGCGCGACAAACGGGTTATTGACTTTCAACGCACCGATACGACTCGCATTGCCATTTCTATAAGAAGGAAACAAGACCGAGAGACAACTGTTTGTACAAAGAACTATGATAACACATGGGAATTGCAAACGCCGACAGGGAAAGTAAAGGCAGACGCGAAAGCAGTGGACGACCTGCTCTTTGGTGTAGATTCTCTTGAAGCTACTGCCTTTATTGACGATCCTGACAAAAATCTTGCCTCTTATGGGTTAGCACCACCATCAATTGAGGTCGCTTTTACGCAACGGGGTCAAGAAAAGCCAGCGGTACTACGCATTGGAGACTACACCGAGGATGGAACTGTCTATGTTAAAGCCGAGCAGTCCAATCAAGTCGCCGGCGTCAAACGTCCGCTCATCGACAAGATTGCGCTCGGTGCGGCGTGGTTAAGAGATAAACAGGTCCTCAACTTCCACATTGACGACGCGATTCGGCTCACTTTGCACGGAGAAGAATCGCTAACATGTCAACGCCTCGGGACCAACTGGCGACTCACCTCGCCGGTGAAAGAGGAAGCGCACAATGCAGAAGTTAACGCTATCATCTACGAACTCGACGATCTGATGGCAGACACATTTGTCCGGAGCGAACCCGTACTTACCGATGCGATTACAGGTTTTAGCACCCCACAGATCCAACTTACCATCGAATTGCGAAATCAGAAAGTGTATACCTTGCAAGTCGGAAACCAGGCAGAAGCATCCGGTCGTTTTTACGCACGGCTCCAGCATGAACCGAATTTAATCTTTCTACTCAATGCAGAACTCGTTCCAAAACTGAAAACAACGCTTACACTGCTTCGCATGCCGTAGTTTTCAGTTTTAATAGTTGTCGGTGCGGGTTGCTACGCAACCCTTTCAGTTTGCATCGCAGTGAGATTTGTCGGTTAAGAGGCTATTTTGTAAAGATATATCCAAATTTTGCCCACACGCGGCAAAATTTGTCTTTGCTTTACACTCTTGGAGTACTCCAGAAAGTGGTGACTTGTTACGCGAGAACTCTTAACTGAAAACCGAGTACCGATAACCGATAACCAACATAGAAGCATCTTAACATTTAACGCCATGCAGACCTATATTATCGCAACCGCCTATTTTTTGGTCATTATCGAACTGCTGATTATCAGCCGATCCTTCCAGTATGCACGGCGCGAACGTCGTGCGGATCGACCTACTTATACGCCAAAGGTAGCAATCATTGCCCCGCACTATGGGTGGGATGCCGACATAGCGGAACACGCCAAAGGACTCTTGCATCAAGTTTACGCGGGTGCGTATGAGATATTCTTCGTCACACACCAAAAAGCCGACTCAGGACACGATGTCTCTTACCCACACTTATGTGAAATTGCTGAAACACATCCGCATGTCCACGTGCTGTTAGCACCGAACATCGTTGAAAACAATCTTTCACGCTCGCAAAAGGTGCAGAACCTCATAACAGCGATAGAAGAACTTCCAGACGATATCGAAGTCATCGCATTTGTGGACGCCGATGTCGCGATTCGAGAGGATTGGCTAACGCTGCTTGTTAATCCACTCCAAGAACCAGACATAGGGACAACTGTCGGTGGACGGTTCTATTTCCCGCAAACATGGAATGTCGCGTCTCTTGTGGAAGCCATTTGGGTAAACTTCCAGCTGAGTTTCCAAGGTGACCATCCGCTCTCAATGGTGTGGGGCGGCTCTAACGCGTTCCGACGCGAGATGCTTGAGAAGGCACACATCCTTCAACGCTGGGAACAGGCAACGATCGAAGATCACAACACCACCCTTGCGATGAGAGACGTTAAGCACAAGGTGCATTTTGTCCCAGACTGCGTAGCTATTACACGCACCGCCAACCGTACATGGCACCAAATTATCGAATTTACGAACCGCCAGATGATTATGACACTTCGCATGGGACTTTGGAGGCAATGGTTAGCAAGCCTCATTGTGTTTCTACCGAAAGGTCTCTGTGTATTTGGAGTGATCCCATTCCTATTCTATCGTGAAGGCTATCGTGAAGGGCTACTACCGATCGTCTTCATTCCGCTTCTGGAGGCATTTGGTTATAGGATTTACACCAAAAACCTACCGCGGTGGCTCCGCGAAATGCCCAAGATGCGGGAAACAATTGGCGTAACCTCGTACGTCGCCTCAGTTTCACTATTCCTCGGAGGTATCAACGCTCTATATGCAGTATTCCAACGTAAAATCACTTGGGGTGGGGTGCGATATGAAATTCTGTCGGCGACAAAATGTCGGGTTTTAGGGACGGTAAAGCCCAAACGGAATTTTTAATTGAGTCGCCAAGCGTGAAGAGCGGCAATAAGGTTCAAAACACATTTGCGTTTTTTTTCATAATGTAGTATAGTATTGGTGTAGGAAATTCACTACATTCATGGGAGGAATGAAAAATGGGAGCAGAAAAAATTATTAAATCAGAAAAAGAATGGCAAGAACAACTCACACCAGAAGCATATAAGGTAACTCGGAAGCAAGGGACAGAACGTGCCTTTACAGGGCAATACCACGATTGCAAAGAGCAAGGCACCTACCACTGTATCTGTTGTGGAAGTCCACTTTTTAGCTCCGAAACCAAGTACGATTCCGGAACAGGGTGGCCCAGTTTTTGGGACGCTGTCTCTCCCGAATCTATTGAGACGAAATCGGACCGTAGCATGTTTTTCATGCCGCGCACTGAAATCGTTTGTAGTCAATGTGACGCACACCTCGGGCACATTTTCAACGACGGACCGTCGCCGACAGGCAAGCGTTACTGCATGAATTCTGCGGCACTGACACTGGTAAAACCGGAAAACGAATCTTAACCTCCTACAACACGCTTACAATAGAAAGGAGAATTGATGGCACTACGAAGTCGAATCTCATCAAGGTTTCTTGTCAACGAAATCGCCACCGCCATGTCGGAGGATTGGGGAACTTCTCGGAAGTTGATGCGTTACCAACTCGCCAAAGAAAGCTTCAACTGGCGACACCCGCTGGGCGCGAAACACGGTAAAGGCGACGCTATCGAACTGGTAAGCCTCCGTATTACCGATATGTGCAACCTCCGTTGCCATTCTTGTGGACAATGGGGCGATAACGGTTATCTTGTCGGAGAATCTCTCAAAGATCTCAAACAACGCGAAGTCCCCGTCGAAATCTATAAAAATCTCGTCGACCAGATTGTCGACGAAGGATGGTCACCGGTCTGGTACATCTGGGGTGGCGAACCGATGCTTTACCCCGGACTCATCGAATTGATGCACTACATCAAAGATCGGGGAATGCCGATATCACTCGTTAGCAACGCGACGAACATCGCAAGACGCGCCGACGACATCTTGGAAACCTGCAAAATTATCTACCTGAGCGTCGATGGACCGACTGAAGAAATTCACAACACGCAGCGTCCGGGTGTCTCTGAAAACTATGACAACTTTAAGGATGTTAAAGCCGCATTAGAAACGCTGAGTGCAGAGAAAGAGAAGCGGAAACAGGCATTCCCTTATATTATCCCGCTGAGCTGCGTCACAATGTATAACATCGATTTTGTCGTGGATCTCTATAAATTCACCAGCGAATATGCCGACGCGCAAATTTTCTATCTGACATGGTGGATAGATTCCGAATCCGCACAGGAACACACAGAGGAGTTTGAAAAACGCTTCGGATTCAAACCGCAAACCCATTACGGCTGGATAGGCACATGGAAAGACTTTGACCACGGTGCAATCTTAGATCGCTTCGAAGAGATGGAAAGCCTCTCCGACAAGCAGCAACGCTGCCCACCTATTATGATGCCGAGGCTAAATACGAAAGGCGAAATCCAACGTTATTACACAGATCATCAGGAAACCTTCGGGTACAACCAGTGTGTCAGCATCTACATGACAATGGAGGTCGATAGCAACGGTGACGTTAGCCTCTGTCGCGATTACCACGATTACATCATCGGCAATATCAAGACGGACAAGGTTGTCGATATGTGGAACAACCAGAAGGCGATGAAATTCCGACAATCCGTGAGTAATGATGGACCCATGCCCGTCTGCCGCCGATGCTGTGGATTGATGGGGTATTAATTTTACCTCGCGGATTTTTAATTTTACCTCGCGGAGTAATGAAGGTCGTTTGAACTGTTGTGTGCGTTCCACCTATCTGTCCTCCATTACATTACGGACTACGGGTTTTGAGGGTAGCGTAAGAGAAAACCTGTGTTAGGTGAAAGCCTCTTAACTAACTGCTGACCACTGATAACTGACAACTAACAACTGACTGCTAATTGCTAATTATACCTTCTTAACCAGAAACCATCACGAAACGTAGTGGAGCGATGCTCAGAGGACCATAGTTAAAAATATGAAAATAGGATTACGAATTCCGGGCACAGCCCGGCAATTGCCCTTCGCAGATTTTTGTAAATGGTGTAAGGATAACGGGTTTGATGCCGTTGATATTGGAGAAACGACCCCCGAAATTGTCCAAACCGCGAGAGATGCCGGTCTCGAAATCGGCACAGCGGATCTCCCCGGTGTCAGCGACTTACTCAGCACAAAAAAATCTAAACAGAGAGCGGGCGCTTCGGCAGCAAAAGCCGCCATCGAAGCCGCCGCTGACAACGATGTTCATATTATGTTCTGCGTCTTTGTCCCAGAAGATGCCAGTCTCGGCAGAGCAAAAAACTTTGACATTTGGAAGCAAACTATCCCACCTATCGCCGAATTCGCCGACTCTAAAGGTGTAACCATCGCGGTAGAGGGATGGCCCGGTTCCGGTCCCGCCTATCCTGCCCTCGGTTGCACGCCGGAGATGTGGCGTGCGATGTTCGCGGAATGTTCATCCCCGGGATTAGGACTCAACTACGATCCATCGCACCTCGTCAGAATCGGTATCGACTATCTACGAGCCCTGAACGAATTCGCACCGTACGTCAAACACGTCCACGGGAAGGACACCGCCTTCGACGAAGAGGCACTCTACTTACACGGCAATTTGGGACCGAGTTTTCAATCTGCACGCGGTTTCGGTGAAGATTGGTGGCGTTATACCATCCCGGGCGACGGAATAGTGGATTGGCTGAGAGTGGTTCAACGCTTAGAAGACGAGGGTTTTGATGGCATCGTCAGCGTAGAACTTGAAGATTACCGGTATTGGCGAACGTGGGAAGCAGAATCGGACGGTCTGCGCCGTTCACGCGAATTCCTCGCGGAATTTGTTCGGTAATCCCTCCCATGTTCGCAGAGACGCACCCAGTTCGTTAGAAAAAGCAACGGCGCAGCCAAGGAGAATTTACCATGAAAGAACTTCTTACTATGGGCATGGAAGCTTCGCCTGAGAAGTATCTTCCGCACCTCATTACAGAAGAAGAGCGCACTCACTTTGAAGAAAATGGCTATCTATACATCCCGAACGCCCTCTCTACTGAAATGCGGGAACAGCTCATACACACCGTGGACACTTCATACAACAAGGCACTCGCTACAGGTAGAGCAAAGCCCGACTCGCAGTGGGGTTGGTCGGATTTCTTAGGTGCCGATGCCGCGCTCTTAAACCTTGTTGATCTGCCCACGACGTTACCTAAAGTTTGGGGAATTTTGGGATGGAATATCTACCTATACCACGCCCACATGCACGTCAAACCGCCAGCAGCTCCAGATGCTGAAGAGGGTGAAGGATGGCTGGAATGGCACCAAGACAGCGGACGCGTCAACATCGAGATGGAGACACATCCACGTCCGCGTTTGTCCCTGAAAGTCGGATATTTTCTCACGGATGTCTCTGAACCCGGACGCGGTAACTTCTATATTCGCCCGGGCAGCCACCTCTCGGACATGTCCGTCCCAGAATCCGAGATCAGTCGCGACCCGCGCGAAGCAACCGCAGACGATGTGCCTGACGATGCGATGCCGGTCTGCGTGGAACCCGGAACCGCCGTCCTCTTCGACAGACGCCTCTGGCACTCGCGGAGTCCAAACAACTCCGAAATGACCCGAAAGGCTCTGTTTTACGGCTACGGCTACCGCTGGATCCGTCCCAAAGACGAGATGACGGTTGAACCGCTCTATGATCGGTGCGATGCGATCCGTCGGCAACTGCTCGGTGCCGCTACCCGAAACAATGGACGCTACGTTCCCGCCGAAGAAGATGTGCCGCTGCGCGGATGGCTCATTGAAAACCTTGGGGACGATCCTACCCTTGCGATGGGACCCCGGCACGCTTAAACTATAGGATGGATGGCTGGAAGGCAGCTCCCCCAGTCCTCCTAATCAGACAGTAAAAAGGGAAGGATGGAAGGATGGAGAGGTCCTCAGCCTTCCCACCTTCCAATCTTCCAACCAAACAAAGGTTTTCAATCCTCGTTTATCTGCACATCTGCAGTGTTAATTGAGGTAAATTTATGAAACCCGATCCTATCCTCGAAGAATGCTACCGTATCAAGGAAGAATACAGTGCCCAGTTCAAGGACGTGCAATCCTTTTTTGAACATTTAAAAGCCCAAGAGAAAAAGCGGAAAAAGGAAGGATGGAAATACGCTCCGCCACCCCAACACCTTGAATTCAACATCACAGCCGAACATCTCGAATTTGTAATAGGTCGCGCAAAAGAAACAGGCAAGGCCCCGCAAATTGTTGCGCTGCTTGAACGGCTCAAAACCGGACTGATAACCTGCGCAGCAGCAAAAGATAGCCCCCACATTGATTTTGGGAAAACTTTACAGGTAGAAACTGCTCGCGCGCTCATACAGGATTGGGCGATTGCAGCCATCCGGTTCGTCCTCAAAGAAGACACCGACTTGCAATCCGAAACCTCTCCGATTGCACAAGAGGTTCGTCAGATTTTAACAGCATGGCTGCCAGACTTTGTCGTCCTGAATTTCACGTTAGAGCTCTCTGAAGATATGCAAATCATAGCGAAGCCGATCGTCGGTGCCGACACGCGAGAAGGACAGGCGTACCTCGCGAGCGCGCATCTTGAAATAAGAATGAAGCGCGGCGAGATACCAGAAGGCTTAACGCAAATTCTGAATCGCTTCAAAGTCTAACAACTTTACGCGCAGGATACAACCTTGTTCTTTGCGACGCGCCACTCCGCATGTATTTAGGAGCATCCCCATGAAAACTGTATTACTTATTTGCATTTTGGTAGCACTCACCCTACCGAGTGCGTTTGCCGCGCCTGAATGGAAACCTTACGACGACTTTGAGGGGGATTTAGACGCAATTGATGAGACCCCTGGACAGACACCAGATCTCGGCACGAGATGGGTACGCTTCGTCCCGGAAAAACGCTTAGAGATGGGCATCAAGGATGGTACTTTTGGGATGAACGTCAAAGCTCCTGGCGGACGCGATCCCGGCTTCAAACTCGTCTTTGGATGGGATCCGCGCGATATTCTCGGCATCCAGTTCACTGTGAAGGTTGCTGAACTCTCCAAAGCTGGGGGTTGGTTTGGGGTGCTGTGTACCGACGAAGAACCGAACTGGAAAAACCCCAATTGGGTTTTCGGTATGTCTCCGAGTCATCAACACGCTTGGGGACCCAAAGGTGTATTCGGCTCTGGCTCGGTTGGCCAACTGGGCGGCTGGCAGGCATTCGCTTATGAAGACATACCCGAAAACACCAATATGCTCAGAACGATCCGCTTGGAATGGAACGATGCGAAGCATGAAATGGCTATTACCGTCGATCCGGGTGAAAAGACGGAATGGAAAAAGGACGACATCCCCTCTAACGCCGACTTAGGCAAATTTCCGTGGTGGAGCATCTATCTCACAGCCGACCAAGTGGTTGAAGTCGCCGTTGACGATGTTTTCGTAAAATCGGAGAGTCTGCCTTACCCCGTAGAAGCCCGTGGCAAATTGGCTTCACGCTGGGGTGAAATAAAGTTAGTGGATTAGTGTATCTCGCCGAAGAGTCGCGACCAGGAGATCGCTCCTACAGTAACATGTTGCGATTTGACGTTCGCTTTTATCGGAGAACTAAATGACACCCTCTCTTGATTATTTTCACATTTCTGGGTATAATTAATACAGTTGACTTACGCATCTCAATCTCCATCGGCGTGAGTCCTGCTAAATATTCTCAAAACAGTGAAATAAAATGGAGGAAGAAGTGGCAAGAAAAAAAATCAGTGTTATCGGTGCGGGGAACGTCGGCGCAACAGCGGCGTTCCTGATCGCACAAAAACAACTCGGGGATGTCGTCATGATAGACATCGTAGACGGCGTTCCGCAAGGCAAGGCACTGGACATGGCACAAATGGGTCCCATAGAACTGTTCGATGCCGCCGTTGATGGAGACCTGGATTACACCGCTACCGCAGGCTCCGATCTCGTAATTATCACATCAGGTTCCCCACGGAAACCGGGGATGACGCGCGAAGATCTGTTGCAAATAAACGCCAATATCGTCGGTAGCGTCACAGAGAACGTCGTGAAAAACTCGCCAGACTGTATTCTCATGATGCTCACCAACCCGCTCGACATCATGACCTACCACGCGTGGAAGGTCTCAGGGTTTCCATCACATCGCGTCGTCGGACAAGCAGGTGTGTTGGATTCAGCACGGTTTCGTTATTTCATCTCGCTCGAACTCGGCGTGTCTGTAGAAGACATCCAGGCACTCGTCCTCGGCGGACATGGCGATACGATGGTCCCGCTCCCTCGCTATACTACCGTCAACGGTATCCCGATCCCGCAGCTCATACCGGAAGATCGCATTGAAGCGATGGCACAACGAACTCGCGACGGCGGTGCTGAAAATCGTCAACCTCCTTAAAACAAGCGGTTACTATGCCGCCGGTGCTTCGTTGGCACAGATGGCAGAAGCTATTATTTTCGACAAGAAGCGTCTGCTGCCCTGCTCTGCACATCTCACCGGACAATACGGTATTGATGACCTCTATATCGGCGTTCCGATTAAACTCGGTGGAAACGGCGTAGAGGAAATCATTGAGATCGAATTAACCGATGACGAACTCGGCTCCTTACAACATTCCGCAGCAACCTATCAAGAAGGCATCGCGTTGCTGGGATACTAAGTAATATTTCCATAACCTCAATATCCCGCCTGAGGACTTCGTGCTGCGTGTTAGATCGCCCGAACACAATTATAGTAAAGTCCCCAATTACTTGGACATCACGGATGGGCGAGGTTACAAACCTCGCCAGCGGTGGAGTGGGGTTGGTGCCTCCTGAGATGTCTACATATTTTCGGGCTTTACTATAAAAGGCGGGCTTCAGTGCCCGCCCACCTTCATCATTTCAAAGCGTCCCAATGCCAAGCTACCTCACAACAGCACAGTATTTGAACGGCATCCACTGTCTCAAACGGCTCTGGTATGAAGAAAAACACACTGAAAAAGCAGCACCTATCTCCTTGTTCCAACAGAAACTTTTTGATCAGCGCAAAGAGATAAAAACCCTTGCCTACTCCCAATTTCCAGAGGGTGTGCACATTGATGCCGAAAACCCTGATGTTGCCGTCCGACACACCAAATCCGCAATGCGTCGTGGCGAATCATGTCTCTTCAACGCTGCCTTCCGTTCAAATGGTGCTTTCGTCCAATGCGATATCCTCCAAAAAGACAAAAAAGGGTGGCGAATCATTGAGATTAGAGTATCGAAGAGAATCAAAAAGGAATATCTCCTTAAGTTGGCTCTACAAAAGCACATATTGGATACATCTGATATACCGATCTCTGCGACGCAATTGATGCTCCTAAACGAAGCGTGCGTTTATCCAGATTTGTCCAATCTGTTTGTTTTTGAAGATGTGACGGATAAGGTTAATTTGTTAAAACAGGGAGTCCCCGACTACCTACGAACGTTCAAGACAATACTCGACAGAGAGGTCGAACCGAACGTCCTGATTGGAAAAAATCTATGCAATCAGCCCTATAGATGCCCCTTCAAGACATCCTGCTGGGCGTTTGTGCCTAAAAATTCAGTTTTCACTATTCCGAAAATCAAAGATCCTGAAGCGACTTTGTTGGCAGAAAATGGCATCTTTCATCTCTCCGATCTCCCAGCTGATTTCCCGCTAACACGCGCGCAAAGCATTTATGTCAATAGTGTTCTCGAAAATAAACCGACAACCAACCCAGCCGCAATCCGACGAGAATTAGCAAACTTGCAATATCCGATCCACTTTCTCGATTTTGAGGCGGATAGACCCGCGATCCCAAGGTTCGACGGTTTCAAGGTATACGAAGAATTTCCGTTTCAGTACAGTTGTCACGTCCTTCAATCTGATGGTGTGGTTACGCATCACGAATACTTGCATACCGATACAACCGATCCACGTTCACGGCTCTTGAAATCTCTGCTCGCGCACATTTCTGACCGCGGTTCCATAGTCGTTTACAATCTGTCTTTTGAACGTCGGATACTAAGAGGTCTGGCTGAATCTTTTCCGGAATATGCTTCGGCACTTCAATCAATCATTGAAAGACTCTGGGATCAGCTGACGACACTCAGAAAACACTATGAACATCCTGATTTCTGTGGGTCTAAATCCCTCAAGTCGGTCCTTCCTGTGTTAGTGCCTTCGCTTTCCTATAAGACTTTAGACATTCAAGAAGGTGGGGACGCGCCAGCAGTCTGGAATTTGATGCTCAGTGCAAACAATGAAACCGAAAGGCAAGAATGGGATCAACGTTTGAGAGCCTACTGCAAACTCGATACGCTCGCTATGGTTGAAATCCATAAGGTGTTGCAAGAAAAAAGCACCTACCACGCATAACGTGATAGGTGCTATGGAAATTTAGCCCTCTGTCTAAACCAAGATTGTGATGTAATGACAATCTAACGGTGGCACCTCAAACACTTGTCTTAACTTTACTGATTTCTGGTCTAAATTAACGGTGGCACTTCACTCACCAGTTGAGCAATCTTAGCTATTTCTATAGACATATCACCCCTCTGGGGTGAGAACAGAGACTAAAAAACCTTTCTGGCGTGCGCAGAATCTGTTAATAGCAAGTTGGGTTATTATAAGAAACACCTTTATTCTCAGCAATTTGTTCGGCGGCTTTATCATGTTTAGTAGCCATCCTTATTCTCCTTTACAATTATAACGCAAGTTTCCATCTTTTATAGACATAGCACCCCTACGGGGTGCGATTGCTCGTGTGAGCCATTTCTATAGACATAGCACCCCTACGGGGTGGGGAAAGTGCCTAAAGAAATTTAATGCTCTAATTCCAATTTTTAAAAAATGGACATTCATATAGCCAGTTTATTTTCTTACTTCTTATCTTTATCCTCATCGACGACTTCGCTATCGGCAGATCTAATAATGCATACATCCACCTGTTCTGACTTTACGCTTTTTGGGCGATCATGCTGGAGAGGATTCCGAGGATTCTGTCGCACCGCTCAAGCGTGTAGGTTGCCATATCAATGTGAAGGCATTTGCCCTCCAACTTGAGGAATAGCCAATCTATTCCTGTCGTGGAAGCCCCATAAACACAAGGGATGTCATTCCCTTTTTCGGCATTAAAGCGTTGGGCGGCGATCATCTCGGCGATACACTGTCCCATACCAAGTTTCAGGTCAGCATTTTTCGCTTCAACAAGGATGAGGACGGGGGCTTCCACATAAAATTGGTTTGGCGAGAGACTTACTAAAAAATCGCATACGCCGGTCAAGCCATCTTCCACATCAACGCTGAAGTCAATGCCAGAAAAGAAACTAATGCGGCGATCGAAGTGATCCAGGAGTTCAACAAGTACATCGGCGACGATCAATTCCGAACGTGCTTTTTCGGTACTGATTGCGGTAGCTAACGATGCCTTTTTTGCTAATGCTGTTGTGAGATGGGCACTGGGAGGCACCGTTTCTACTTCAGAAAAGAGTGCCGCGGATTCAACGATTTCCAGTTGAAACGTTGTTACGACTGCTTCCAGCGTAAAATTGCTATAAGCCATTAATCAATCTCCCGTATGCCATCAAGAGAGTCGCAATTCAGAAGTATCGCCTAACTTTTATCCTTCTTCTCGTCCTCGTCAACGACTTCATATTCAGCGTCAACGACATCGCTATCGGCGGGTTCAGCTGTCGCGTCAGCGGCAGACGGATCTCCTGCAGCAGCACCCGGATCCGCACCGGCTGTCTGCTGATACATCTGCGCAGAAACCTCATGCCAGACCTGTGTTAATTCCTCCGTCGTGGATTGGATCTCTGCATGGTTACCCGCTTCTAATGCCTGCTTGACACGGGCAACAGCCGCATTCACTTTCTCCTTGGAGGCATCGTCTACTTTGTCACCGAACTCTTTTAGGTTCTTCTCAGTCTCGTAAACCATAGAATCCGCACGGTTGTGAGTCTCAACTTCCTCCCGTTTCTGCTGATCCTCTTCGGCGTGTGCTTCGGCATCTTTCACCATCTGATCGATCTCGGCATCGGTAAGCCCAGAGGACGCGGTAATGGTAATCTTCTGCTCTTTACCGGTTGCAGTATCCTTAGCAGACACGTTGAGGATACCGTTCGCGTCAATATCAAACGTTACTTCAATCTGTGGCATACCTCTCGGAGCCGGAGGTAGCTCGCTCAAACGGAAACGTCCGATGGTTTTGTTGTAAACCGCCTGTTCCCGTTCACCTTGGAGGACATGTACATCGACCGAGGTCTGATTATTCTCAGCCGTCGTGAATATATTCGATTTCTTCGTAGGAATAGTTGTATTCTTGTCAATCAACCGCGTGAACATGCCACCGAGCGTCTCAATCCCAAGTGAGAGCGGTGTGACATCCAGCAAAAGAATATCTTTGACCTCTTCGTCCCCAGCAAGCACGCCGCCTTGGATTGCGGCACCGATTGCGACGACTTCATCCGGGTTGACACCTTTATGCGGTTCTTTACCGAAGAGTTGCTGCACGGCTTCCTGAACCTTCGGCATGCGTGTCTGCCCACCGACGAGGATGACTTCCTCAATATCGGAGGGTTGCATCTCAGCATCCGCGAGGGCTTGTCGACAAGGTCCAAGCGACCGTTGGACCAGGTCGTCCGTAATCTGCTCCAGTTTTGCGCGAGTGAGCGTCAAGTTAAGGTGCTTCGGTCCGCTGGCATCGCTGGTAATAAAAGGCAGATTAATATCAGCCTGTTGCGCGCTGGAAAGCTCACACTTTGCTGTTTCTGCCGCCTCTTTGAGGCGTTGTAGCGACATCGGATCGTTGCGGAGATCAATTCCTTGGCTACTCAGGAACTCTTGTGCCATCCAGTCAATTACTGCTTGGTCGAAGTCATCACCACCGAGGTGTGTATCGCCGTTCGTGCTTTTCACCTCGAAAACGCCATCCCCGATTTCAAGAATAGAGATGTCAAATGTGCCGCCCCCGAGGTCATAAACGGCAATCTTTTTATCGCCTTCATTTTGCAATCCGTAAGCGAGAGACGCGGCGGTCGGTTCGTTGATAATCCGCTCGACCTCTAACCCCGCGATTTTGCCTGCATCTGCTGTTGCTTGACGTTGGGCATCGTTAAAATAGGCAGGGACAGTAACAACCGCTTTCGTGACTTCCTCTCCGAGGTATGCCTCGGCGGTTTCCTTCATTTTCCGCAAAACCATAGCGGAGATTTCGGGGGACGAGTAATCCTTGCCATCAATATTTACAGCGACATCGCCATCTTTATCTGCTTTTAATTCATAAGGCACGCGGGAGGCATCGTCACCAATTTCGTTATATTTCCGTCCCATGAACCTTTTAATCGAAAAGATTGTATTTTGTGGGTTCGTGATAGCTTGTCTTTTTGCAACCAGTCCGACCGGACGCTCTCCTTCTTTCGTAAAACCAACAACCGATGGGGTCGTCCGGTTTCCCTCAGTGTTTTCAATCACCCTGGCATCGCCGCTCTCTAATACAGCCACACATGAATTTGTTGTACCTAAATCAATTCCAATGACTTTGCTCATTTTTGATCTCTCCTTTTTTTAATTTTACCTTGCGGAGAAATGACGTGGATTATAACTTTAGCGGTACTTGCTTATATCCGCCCTCCACTTCGTTACGGGCTACGGGTTTTGTGCTATAGAAAGAAATTCCGTTAGTGCATCGCTACCATCGCACCGCTACCCCAGAAAGTATGTCTATCAGGACTTACGCAAAATTGACGTCCATGCCAAAATTGAGGGAATATTCCCGAAGAAAGCGCAATAATGCACGTCGCATTTGGGCGAGTACGCCGCAGAATTACGCTACTACGAACCAAAGACTGCGCGAAAACGGGTCAACTCCGTAAGTCCTATCTATAACATTTTCCTATTTACCGAATAGTATGCAATATCTGTGCCAATACTGATTGCTTGAAATAGCGGAAATTCCCGCTGTATGTCTGCCAAATTGGCACAGTCCTAAAAGGGATGTGATTTCACAGGTCAATTTGACTTACTATGATCCCCATACCTTCGTTTGAGAAGCCCCCATGTCATTGGCAATTTCGCATCGGGGTCAACAGCCAAAATTTCTTGGATACCCCCTTGAATTTCTTTGATTTCATCCTGTGAGAGACCGCGGTTAAAGAGTGCGAACTCATCAATGTCGCCGTTATAGTAGCGATTGAGAGCCGGGTGGTTCCTCAGTACCGAGCATAAGCGGGGCATCAATCGGCACCAATTTATCACCCGTCTTCGGGTAATCTATCAGGACCTCGCCATCAAGATAGACGGTCCACCACTCTCCACTCTGAAACGAAACGGCAACGTGCTGCCATTTGTCCTTCACGACATCATGAGGACTCTGTGCTGGCACATTACGCCCACCTGTCAACTTCCATCCCATCCATATAAAACCGTCCGGATGGAGCAGCACCTCGAAAAACTCTTGTACATCGGGTCCCTTCGCCGCTATAAGTTGCCATGTGCCGGGTCCCGACCTTCAAAGTGGGCAGAATCCAAGCGGCAATGGTGATGCCATCGGTAAACTCAAACGCATCGGAATGCTCGACCCGAACGATCCCATTCTTTCCACCGAAATTAACCGATTTCCCGAATTTACCATCGGTCCACGACGTATCCCCCTCTAATTTCCCATCCTGCCCGTTACCAGAGAGATCCGCAACAGTTTTACCAGCTCCCTCTTCAAAAGCAAAGTAGACGACTAAACCTTCCAGTTCCGCGGCTGTACTAATACCTTGGAAACTACCTATCAGATACAGAGCACATAAGCACACCATTCTTGCATACGAGGCTTTGGTTTGTAAGTTACGCCAAAAGTTACGCATGAGTATCCTCCAGATTCATCGTAGTTGCCCGTTAAACGATACAGGCGGATGTCAAGAACACCCGCCCGTTAAACATTCTCACATATCTCTAAACAAACGGGAATGTCCCTTGATACCCGCGCGGACGAGAAACATGCCACACGCCTTCATACATCGGTGTCACCTGATAATGGCACACGACATTGCTCCGCTCCATATCGTCCCGCTCTTTTGCGCCTTGATGCGGGATATGGTTGATGAACAGCACACAATCGCCAGCCTTTGGATACAGGATAACATGTTCTTGTGCGTTACACCACGCCTCGAATTTAGGACGATCCAACGGATAGAGGTGCAGTGGCTCTGACAAATGACCACCTTTGATAAACTTGAGGTGTCCCTCACCCGGGGCATTGTCTTGGAAATAGTACGTCGTGTTAATCCCGGCGGGTGCCATTGCGAACGGATGTTCCTCAACATACCGCTTTTCTTGCCAGTAGCCGTAAAAATCCATGTGCCATTCTTGGAGATAGGGACCCGGGTTGATGTGTGCGCGTAGACTTCGGAGTTGACACTGTTTGCCCATTAAACCTTCAAGGTAGGGACGGACACTCGAATGCCCGACAAGTGACTCATACGTATCGGGTTCGCGGTCAAGCAAGGTATCAAACCACATGTTGCCGACGGCGTTCAAGCCTTCCTCCCAGCCCTTTTTACGGGCATAATTGATGCGCTGACGGATATGCTCTGTCTCATCTGGTGACAACGCACCCTCTATCAAAACGAAACCTTCCTGTTGCAGTTGTGCGAGTTTATCCTTCATGTCTGCCATGGTTCATCTCCTTTCAAAGATTCAGAATTGCTGACGATATTTTATAGTTTTAAGGGAAAGGTGTCAACCTTAATCAAAACCACTACCAGGGCTATTTAGTTTTCGGTTCCGATCTTGGTTTTCGTTCACATAAGTTAAGGGTTTCGCGCAATATCGCGAGCACAGCTCGCTCCTACAGCGGAAAAACGTTCACGCATATAAAGTCAATATGTAAAACTAAATGACCCTGAAACCACTATATGAGAAGCTTGGCGAGTTTGACGCACAAACCCCAGCCACTAATTCCCGCAAATATAATAAGTACAGCCGCGGAAATCAGAGCACCGACGAACATGAACGGACGCGTCCGGTAAGCGGCGGGCAGCTTAGCGTTTAAATACAGTGCTGCGAGCATCATCAATGCAATCGAAAAATTCGCTAAAATAAAGCCGGCGATCTGTGTCAAAATATCAAATGGAATGTTTAACCAGATGAGCACCATCGTCGTAAGAAAAATGTAGAGACAGATCCACTTGCGAAGCGTATCGTAGTTCCATTCGCGTTGGGGCCAGACGGCTTGAAAGAACTCTTGTATCACCCGTGCGTAAATCTCCGGCAGTGCCTGTAGCGTTCCCCACAGCGCGACGACAATACAGATATAGTACACCCACACGAGCGACACGTGAATATTTTTCCAGACACTCGCTTGATCGGTCAGTAGGCTCCATCCTTCAAAAGTGCTTTGCATTCCATACAGGACAGCAGCACCTGAGATCATGAACGCGCCCGTCACGATAAATAGCACGATCGCGCCCATACCGACATCCCACCGAAGCGGGGCAAGGATTTGTCGGAGTTGGCTGACCTGCTCAGGTTGTTCAGGAAGATAATCAATTCTATCGCGGTTGGCGGAGCGCTGACGGATAGCCTCAATGTTCCGATGTCCTGTCATGCCCCAACGGTGCATGCTCACCCAATTCGCGTAAACAACGTATCCCATTACAGATCCGCCAACGTAACCAAACGCCGTCGCCATTGTCAACAAGGGATTCTCAACCGCATCCTTCGGTGCCCATTCAGGGAATTCAGGCAGATATCCAAAACGGAGACTCCCAACGAGTGCCTTGCCAAAGTCGGGACGCACCATCAGCGTGCCTATAATCGTTCCGAGAACAAGAATCAGACAAATAATGAGTTGCTGTTTTTCGAGCTTTTCGAAGGAGATACGTAAACCGAATAGGAGCGCGAGCGTGATGAAGCAAGACGTGATAAGGTTTTCCCAAACGGGCTGCGAGACACCAGAAGGCAGTGCGTCTTTCAACAGAAAATGGAGCAGGGCACCGCACGGTTTGCCGATCGGCACCCATGCCAAAGGTGCGCCTATCATCTCAAAGAGGACAATCGCAATGAGGAGCCATCCCCGCGGTCCAGGTAGTTTGACGAGCCGGCGTCCGATATATTCACCGCTAACCGCGGTATAGCGACCGAGCAGATAGGTGACAAAAATAGCCTTGACCACGCAACTGAGAAGCACAAGCCAGAGCAAGTTATATCCCGCCCATGCCCCTGTACGAACAACGACAATTGTTTCACCTGCCCCGATACTCACTGAAGCAACAATCGCCGCGGGTCCAAATACCGACGCAAGCGCAATAATCTTTTTCAGCGACCACGGTTCAGCATAAGGACCGGTGACGGGTGGAAGGTCAACAGGTTCAGCCGTTTGTGTCTCTTCTGTTTGCATAAAAGGTTTCCTATAACAACGAGCGGACTTCAGGAGAAGCCCGCTCGCAAGCCTTTATAGGCTTTCGGGACAATGCTACGTCATCCGCTTTATTCTAAGGGTTCTAAGGGTTTCGCATTCCCAAAGACAGGGGTTGGGGCATTGCCGGGTGCTGCCCATCGAGCGGCATTCGCAATAACGCGCTGAACGTTTTCATCGTAATAGATGGGATATGTTTCATGGCCGGGACGGAAATAGAAGATTTTTCCTCGCCCACGATAATAACAACATCCACTTCTGAAAACTTCACCACCGGGGAACCAACTGACGAAAATAAGGGTATCGGGTTCAGGAATATCAAACGGCTCGCCGTACATCTCAGCGTGCTCAAGTTCAAAGTATTCGCCTAAGCCTTCAACAATCGGATGTCCATGCTCAATCACCCAGAGGCGTTCCTTTTCACCCGCCTCACGCCATTTGAGGCTACACGAGGTACCCATCAAACGGGTAAAAGGCTTAGAATAGTGTGCGGAGTGCAGGACAATCAGTCCCATACCATCTAATACACGCGCGCGGACCTTGTCAGCAATTGCATCTTCAACAGCACCGTGTGCCGCATGCCCCCACCAGATGAGAACATCCGTGCTTGAGAGCACATCGTCGGTCAAGCCGTGTTCGGGTTCATCCAGCGTTGCACTTCTCACGTTAAAGCCACCCGAACTGTCAAGCCCATCAGCGATGGCGGCGTGGATGCCTTTCGGGTAGATACCCCGAATGAACTCGTTTGTTTTTTCGTGTCTAAATTCATTCCAGACTGTAACCTGAATTGGTTGCGTCATAAGTCTCTCCTTATTAATTGTAGATTTTCGCTTTCAACTACACTATAGAAAAATGATTAGGACTCACACAATGCGTCAACAACTATCCGCACTATCACACTGACAAAACGCGTCCCCTAAATTCGCACACCCTGACGACTTACTCAACAGCAACAAGGTATTCAGTCAACCCGGATCGCCGCGCTTTGGCTCGCTTGGCAGTTTGAACGAATTCGCGTAGTGTGACAATTAACTCATCGGCTGTCTCAGGTGTGAATGAGGCTTCACCATCTTCTGGACAAACCCATGCATGTATATTTGGCACATGGATAGATATACCGTCCTCGCTATATGCAAACACAGTTGGTTTCCACTCTTTCTTTCTGTTGTGTTGCCTACAAATTGGGGCTGGTTTGAGTGTCATTCTTAGAACACCAACTCCGTCTCTACCGCTTCATCGTAGTCCACGCCTTCAACCTCAAACCCGAACAGGTTTCGGAAGTTTCGCCTGAAGCCTGCGTAATTGGAGAGTTCATGGAAATTGTCGGTATCAATCCGCTCCCAACGCTCGGTCACTGCGTCGGTTACCTCTGGCTGTAACTCACGGTCATCAAGACGAATGTAGCGATCACTGTCCAGTTGCGGTTGGAGACCAGGTCCGAGATGCTCCGAGAAAAGTCGTCGCATCTGCCCAATCGGTGCCTCATTGATGCCCTTGGCGTTCATAACGTCATAGAGGATGCTGACATAGAGCGGTACGACAGGAATTGCCGCAGACGCTTGTGTAACGACGGCTTTGTTCACCGAGATATAGGCATTTCCGCCGAGTTGATCTGCGAGTCGTTCGTCAAGCGCATCCACACGCGCCTTGAGATCGTCCTTCGCTCTACCGATAGTCCCATCTCGATAAATGGACCACGTCAAGGAACTTCCGATATAGGTATAGGCAACAACCGTTACCTCCGGCGCGAGCAGCTCTGCGTCTGCCAACGCATCAATCCACATCTCTAAGTCTTCACCACCCATCACCGCGATCGTATCGGTGATCTCCTGTTCATTCGCTGGCTCAATCGTCACAGGTGCGATAACTTCACGATTCAGGTCAACCGTCTTCCCCGTATACGGCGCGCCGATCGGTTTTAACTCGGATTGATGTGAGACGCCAGTGGTCGGATGTATTCGTCGTGGTGCGGCGATGCTATAGACGAGGATATCTATTTTCCCGAAGTTCGATTTAAGTCGGGTAATAGCTTCTGCCTTCATCTCATCCGAAAACGCATCTCCGTTGAGACTGTCCGCGAAAAACCCATCCGCCGCTGCCTGCTGATGAAAGGCGACGGTATTATAGTACCCCGCTGTCGCGGTCCGTCTGGCATCGGCGGGTCGCTCATAAAGAAGTCCAAGCGTTTTCGCACCGTAAGCCCAAGTCAAAGCAATACGAGAAGCAAGCCCATAACCTGTTGACGCGCCGATGACAAGGGCATTCATATCTGTCTTTTTGTAGGGGATGCCCTGCTTAATCTCACCTATCTGGTTTAGGACATTCGCTTGACATCCAGCCGGATGGGCATTGGTACAGATAAACCCGCGTATCCGAGGCTTAACAATTTGAACTGCCATTTTTTTAACTTTCCTTGCGGAGTAATAAGCGTGGTTTCATGCTTGGAGTATTCTTCTCCCGAGTCGCCCTCCACTTCGTTTCGGGCTGCGCTTCCGTGACTCATAATACCGATTTTAAGTTTCCTCAAGAGATTAATCCTCAATTTCGACAACCATCTCAACTTCAACGGGAATCCCACCGGGTAATTGCACCATACCGACTGCGGAGCGGGCATGTTTACCTTTATCACCGAAAACCTCGACCAAAAAGTCCGATGCCCCGTTAACAACTGCAGGCTGGTCAATGAAGTCGGGTGCGGAATTGACGAACCCAATCAGTTTGACGACACGCTTAATTCTGTCCAAATCGCCGAGGGCGTGTTTGAGAGTGCTTAACAAGCCGATCGCCACCTGGCGCGCTGAAGCATAGCCTTCCTCAATCGTCGCATCGGTACCGAGTTGGCTTTTATAGATTTTACCCTCGCCTGTTCCGGGTCCGTGTCCAGAGGTAAATACGAGATTACCGACTTGCACCGTTGTAACGTAATTCGCTACGGGTACTGCGGGTTCTGGTAGTTCCACACCTAATTCTTCAAGTCGTTGTTCTATTTTCATCTGATTCATCCTTTTATAAATAGATTAAATTCTAACATGCCGCAAACACGGCATTTTTAGCGTAACCTGCAAGTCATACCATTTCTAAAAGTTTATATTGCATTAACCGCACCTGAGCGCACAGACTAACAGTCTATGCTACAAGGAGGCACAAACTAAAAGTTTATGCTACAATTTCAATCAGAAATGGTATCAATACTTGCTGTAATTGTTTGTATCTGCTTCTAATATTAAACAGATTTTCGTCAATTTTGTCAAGCAATCTTTTGAATAGTTGTCAGAAGAATAGCAATCAGCTTTCAGCAATCAGCAATCAGTTTTCAGCAATCAGTGACCTATCGATTTCCAACACAAACTTGGCAAAATAGTTATACGCTCACGACAATTTGCTTTGCAGACCGACTTATGCTAAAATGTGTGAAGGTTTAACTGAAATACCCTACATCTTTAGTAAAGAACATAAGGAGCGACTATGAAAGTAGCAGCAATCTTAGGTGAACATCAAGCAGGACTCGTCGAAGTACCAGATCCGACTCCGAAAGAGGATTGGGTCGTTGTAAAAATCCACGCTTCGCCGATGTGTACCGAATACCATGCTTTCGAGTATGGACGCGAAACCGACGGGCTTGGACACGAAGCCGCGGGTGAGGTTGTCGATATCGCACAACCTGGGAAAGTGGAGATCGGCGATCGGGTGGTCGTGATGCCGCAATACCCCTGTGGAAAGTGCGTACTTTGTACCGACGGGGACTATATCCACTGCGAAAACAGCTACAATTTTGAGGAATTCGTCGGATCCCGTTATGGTAGTGCGACGATGGCACAGTATCTCCTGAAGCCATCCTGGTTGCTCCCGAAGATTCCAGACAACGTCTCCTACGAACACGCCTCCCTTGCGTGTTGCGCTTTGGGTCCGTCATACCGTGCCTTTGACGAGATGGGCGTTAATGCGACACATACTGTGCTGATTACCGGTATCGGTCCCGTCGGATTCGGTGCGATTACCAACGCTCGGTTCCGGGGTGCAAAAGTCATTGCAGCAGAACTGATCCCGTGGCGCGCTGAACGCGCAAGACAGATGGGGGTCGAAGCGGTCATCAACCCAACCGATGAAGATGCCGTAGACCAGATTCGCGATCTCACTACAGACGGTCGCGGTGTGGACTTCGCACTCGACTGCTCAGGAAACGTCCAAGCGCACCGACTCTGCATCGACGCGACGCGTCGGCGTGGCACGATTGCATTCGTCGGACAGAGCGGTAGAAACGACACCGTTCTCCACATTAGCCCGGACCTCATCGGTAAAGGGTTGCGTCTCGCTGGGGCGTGGCACTATAATCTCAACCAATTCCCCGGATTGATGAAGGTCATCGAAGGCTCATCCCTCCTCGATCTGCTCATCAGCAATATCTACCCGATGAGTGAGATCCAGCAGGCATTTGAAACCTCCGCTTCTCACGAAAGCTCCAAGATTATCCTGAAACCTTGGGAATAAGCCATGCCGACCACAGATAGACCGAATATACTCCTCATCGTGTCTGACGATCATGCGGCACCGGCGATTAGTTGCTATGGAAGCGAAAACTTGCGATATGAGGGGCGCACCCCAAATATTGACCGGATCGGCACTGGTGGGATGCGATTCAACAACTGTTTCTGCACGAACGCAATCTGCACGCCAGCACGTGGCTCCATTCTCACAGGAAAATACAGCCATAAAACCGGCATCAAAACCCTCGCGGATACAATTGACCACACGCAGGAACAGACAGTCGCACAAATGCTGCATGAAAACGGGTATCAGACGGCAATTGTCGGGAAATGGCATCTCGGACACGGTGGTGTTAGCGAGCCTCACGGATTCGATTACTGGAACGTGTTTCCTGTCCAAGGTGCCCATATTGATCCTGAAATGATCGAGATGGGGAAACGGAAAAAATTCGATGGATACTCCGCAGACATCGTGACGGACAGTTCGCTGAATTGGCTACAGGGCAGAGCGACAGATCAGCCGTTCTTTCTGATGACAACCTACAAAGCGACACACGATCCGTTTTTTCCGAATCCGAAGCATCTGCATCTCTATACGGAGGAAATCCCTGAACCCCCGACCTTCAACGATGCCTACGAAAATCGGGCAGCGGCTGCCGCAATGAACACAGCGAAGGTAGGCATTATGCATCAGAAAAATCATCTGCCGGAGCCGATTCCTGAAAATCTGGAAGGCGATGATTTGAAGCGGTGGAACTATCAGTGCTACATGCAGAACTATCTGCGCTGTGCTCACGCCATCGACGAGAATGTCGGACGATTGCTCGATTATCTGGAGGCAGAAGGCCTTGTTGAAGATACGATTGTCATCTATTCTGCAGATCACGGATTCTTTTTAGGCGATCACGGTTGGTATGACAAACGGTTCATGTATGAGGAATCCATGCGGATACCGTTGCTCGTTCGGTATCCGCGCGAGATCCCAGCGGCAGATGTGAGCGAACAAATCACACTGAACGTCGATTTTGCACCGACACTCCTCGACTACGCAGGCATATCAATTCCAGACGATATGCAAGGACGTAGCCTCCGAACGTCATTGGAAGGTGAAACGCCAGCGGATTGGCGGACATCTATGTATTACCGGTATTGGATGCACCTCGCGCATTTCAATATCCCCGCACACTACGGCGTACGGACGGAACGGTATAAACTCATCTACTATTACGGTGAGGCGTTGGGGGCAGGTGGGGCAATCAATCGCGCGACACCGCCAGAATGGGAATTGTTTGATCTGGAGAAGGATCCGCATGAGATGTACAATGTTTACGCAGATCCGGCGTATGCAGGGGGTTGTAGAGGAATTGAAGAGCGGAATTGGAACGGTTGCGGGATGAACTGGAGGATTATGAGTAAAACTGAGCAGTGGTCCTATCACCTTCCATGTGAAATGACCTTCGCTACGTGTCCTTGATTTTGGAATCTGTAGTCCTCAAGGAAATTGAAAACTTTTGACATTGCCTTCTTTGAGAAAGAAGGTTTCTTCAATTAGGCATTCATTTTAGTATCTCAATTGGTTCCTTTCGCTCCTTATCTGTTTGATCAAAATCCTGATCAAAACTGACGAGTTGGAGGTTATACTTCTCCGCAACAGCATATTGATAGGCATCGTCAAAATCAAGGTTGAATTTCTGAGACGGATGCTCTAATGTTTTCAGATCTTCTACACTCAGTGAAAGAATATGGACACCACCACCAATTATATCCTCTACGAATGAGATGAATATCGGATACTTCCTCCGTCTGAACAGAGCAATCCCGATAGAATTAAGAGAGAAATCTGTTATACAAATTGTGTTCAAATCAATAGACTGTAAAAATAGTCTTACTTGATTTGCCTTCTCTTGTTCCAACAATGCTTCGAGAAAAATATTGGTATCTGCGAGGTACACTAATCTCTCCAATCTAACGTTTTTTTCTGAAGTTCAACTGCTGTATACTGGTCACGATATTCTTTTAAACCACCAAACCAATCCAATTTTGGTTTCTTTCTTCGATTTGAAATCTTTCCAGTTGGATGGATGGGAGCACTACCGTGACTATTTAAGTAAAAATAAAATAAAGGTTTTGCTGCTAACCCTAAGCGACCTCGAGAAAATGCCATTATATTTTCCTCCCCAAATCTATAATTTTATCTTGGAACTTCCCAACAATATCCGGAGAGTGTGTAGCAACAATTACCTGCATTTGTCCACCAAACGTCATTAAAGACTCTAAAAGTTTTTCTTGCCAAGAAATATGTAGTGATAACTCTGGTTCATCCGCAATATAAACTATCGGCTTATCAACCGTAAGAAGTGCTTCAGTTAGTAAAATCAAAATCTGTTTTTCTCACCAGAAGAAAGGAAGTGCGGATCCAAATCGGATGCTGAAGAAAATTCAATTTTTAAATTACCACTATCATCAACCTTAACCGACTTGTCATTGAAAAAGGAGTTGACGTTTTCCTCATAAAGTCGTAAGGGGGCAAAAATCCGATTTCTATCTTCCTCAAGTTCTGCGGCATATTCGACCATCGCTTTTGTTCTACCGATTAGCGGAACCACAAGAAGATCATCCAACTTCAAATGAGTGTTTTCGCCTGCTCGAATTCGTTTCAATGCCTCTTGTGCCGCATCAAAATGTTCATCAATTCTGAGCTGCATCTGTTCATCTAAAAGTTGAGCTGCCTTAAAAGCTCCAACTAATTGTCGCTTTTCTGCTGCTGTCGGCAATGAAGATGGGAGTGACTTAATCTGATCGTGTTCTTTACTATAAAGGATCTCCGATAAAACACGATGCTCAAACACCTTGTACCGTTCGGAAAGGCTTGCACTTAAGCGAGAATGATAACGAAAGAGACCTCTTAACAATTCCTTAAGCCGCGAGTCTACTGACTCTAAAGGATTCGTCCTTCTATGTCGATCTTCTTCATTTTCTGTTACAGGTAAACGACGACTCACGGGAAGCCAGACGACAGGAACTAAAACGGTTAATTCGTCATAAAGTTCCTTTGGTAATATTTGTCTGATAAGGTCATCTGTTTCATAGAACAAAGAGACTTGATGAGCGAACCTTCGGCCAGAAAGAGTATCTATATCAATCTGATATTCTTTGTGACCTATTTTGAGTTTCAAATATGTATCTGTGACTTCAACCCGAACGGTTCGTTCAGATCGCCCCTTAAAACCTCTCAACTTAATCTCGGCTTGATTAAACTTAATGTCTAGAATACTTCGCAAATCACCTGATAAGATAGAATAAAGGATGTTCAAAATTGTGGTTTTTCCAGAACCGTTCGGACCTATCAGTATATTCACATCCTGCTAAAAATTAGATCGATGTCTTGGTAACCCCACAACTTAGTTACTTCAAAGGATTCAATAAAGTAGTTGCGCATGACCCCAACTTCCTCTACTTAACAATATAATTTTTAACATGTATATCATGATAACATATTTTCAAACGTTAAAACAATGGATAGAACACCATTCATCAGGACTATTTAGTTTTCGGTTCCGATCTTGGTTTTCGTTCACAGATGTTTAGGGTTTCGCGCAATATCGCGAGCACAGCTCGCTCCTACAGCGGAAAAACGTTCACGCATATAAAGTCAATATGTAAAACTAAATGACCCTGCACCATTCATACAAAATTAGGGGCTTCACAAATCACAGTCATGAATTGTCAGGACACGGAATATTCCTTTAATGAGATTCTAAATCATTACAGGAAATTCCCCTACCTTATCCTGACATCAACGAGTGTATCAACTTTCTGTGATATTGTTAGGGGCGTTTTGGTCATCTTCAAAAGCATAGATCTTGAAGAGAAAACGCCCCATACACTATCATGATACATCGTCCATCGTGTTTTTACGATGAATTGTTCAACAATTGTTATCACTCGCTTTTTATCCGTCCCCAGGTAACAGCGAGTTTGCCTTCGGGTTTAACATCGGAAACGAGGAGCTCCATGTCCCTCTGGATATCCTTTTGCGACAAGACTTCACTGTAAATGGCGAATTCGTCAATAACACCGTGAGCGCCTGACGTGGTGGCTCTGTACTTAAACTTGTTATTTCCTCCGATTCTTGGGGATTCATGAAATTTAGGAAATCCCGCGAACCCTTTCGCTGTAGCGATTTCCTCGCCATTAATGTAGAAGAAAGCATCCCTACCGAAATCCCAAGTTGCTGCTATGTGCATCCACGTATCTTTTTTAACAACGTCAGCAGCCTGAGCAGCCAGATAAAAGTCTGTATCCGGTGCGTCCTCTGCCGCGAAGTGGAACTCATTTTCCCGTTCTCCGATGACGGCACCTTTTCCAATGGAGAAGAAGGCGACCGCATTGTTGGCATCGAATAATCTATAGGTCCCAGCTTTCCCACCATCCCAGTAAGGCTTAAACCAGAATTCAACGGTGCCGGGATCGGTCATCAAGTAATCGAATTCAATGAACTGTTCCAAGCTATCGCTAAGTTCGATGCCCATCCCGTACGGACCTTCTTTACTTGGGACACGCTTTGCACCGTCCACAATCCTGCCGTCATATCCGTTTCCGCTGGCATCTTCAGCGACTTTTGCATTCTTTCCTGTGAAGGAAAACCAAACTTCGGGTTCCGGTGCGGTATGTCCAATATGAGAAAGCATTATCAAGCCAACTACGAATATCACAACAAATGTTAAAGGTTTATAGATAGACTGAATTGTTCGCTTAAACATAGCATCCTCCTTTTTAATGCAGATATACCTACTATCAAAATTGATTGAAGAGCCTAATACATTACGGAAAATTGTCAAGTATGCACTCTGTCCGATTTTGAGACGCACGGTATCATCCGCTTCTCTCCTTGAGAATCTGTTGAATTTGTGTTTTCAGCGTCGGAAGTTCAAATTGTACTACATCCCAGATAATATTAATATCCACATCAAAATATACGTGGGTTACTCTGTTTCTTAACCCTGCAATTTCGTGCCATAGAATGCTTGGATACCCTTTTTTAATTGAATTGGGAATCTTCTTGACTGCTTCACCGATGACTTGAAGGTTTCGGATAACTGCATCAAGCCGCATCTGGTCCGCCTCAAACTCACCGCGAGTAACACCTTCAACATAGGATGCAATACGATCGGCTGCCACCACTACGTCTTGGAGATATAGGTTATAGTTCCGTGACATACTCTATCTCTTTTTCAATATAAGGTCTGAAACCCGGTTTGATGGAGGTAGGGGTAACCAGATCAACGTCCTTCTTAAATAGATCTTCGAGAAAAAAGAGCCAACCCCATATAATCGCGAAAAGTCAGTCTTTCGAGTTCAACGAGGAAATCAATATCACTTGCAACGGTCGCTGTTCCCCGGACGTAGGATCCGAACAAACCAATCCGCTTGACCCCGTATTTCCGCAGTGTCTTTCGATTGTCCACAAGTGTCTGCTTGATAAAAGCCTTGCTGAGGACTGCTTGATTTTCCACCTTGAATCCCTCCACTAAAGCATTGGAGTACTTCATCCCACCCAACCCATGCCATCATTATAAATTACCTTGAAATTTAAAGCAATTCTTTATACCATATCTCGCAAGAAAACGATACCTTTATTCCACTTGAGGAAAGGATATGACACCGAAACAGAAATACCTCTTTGACCTGCGCGGCTACCTGCATTTAGAGAACGTCCTGACACCCAAAGAACTTAGCAACACACAGGCAGCGATCGAACGGCTTGTGCAGGCAGCACCAAATGAATTGCCGCCCGGAATTAGCAGCGGTGGTGAAGGCTTCTCAAATGGATTTTCAGCGGACAAATCGCTTGAGGCATTGACCCTACATCCTGTCACATGGCCCATTATCAAAGAACTGACTTGGAATAAACCCCGTTTCAATCGTGGGTCGCTTGTCGTCAATACGCACGAGCGACAGGAGATGACACGCCTGCATTGTGCCGGTGAAGGTTTTCGTTGGACCCGGCGGTATGATGTCAAAAACGGTCAGATCTTCACAAACGATGTCGTGGTTTTCTTCTATTTCACGGATGTCTATCCGGGGGACGGTGGTTTGATAGTTTTACCGGGATCCCATAAAAGGGAGTTTAAGCGTCCAGAGCATCTGTTTTTCCCTGAACCTGACAACCCAGATGCGCCGCTCCATCCAGCAATCGTCAATGTGACACCGAAAGCGGGAGATGTCGTGATTATCACCGAGATGTTGACCCACGGTGTGCTGGTGTGGAAACCGGAGGACCGGGATCGGAGATTCCTAATTCTGCGGTATAAAACGCAGTTCTTCCAGGATGAGCGTGGTGTCCGCGAATCCTTCCCACCGGAAGTGATGGAGAGACTCTCTCCTGAGACGCAGGCGTTGGCAGCTCACGGCTCAGAGTGGGAAATAAAGGACCTCGTGAAACAGGATACCGTGACGTTGACGTAATTAGGCTAACCGCAATGGAAATCGTTAGAGCCGAGATCACTTTTAGAATGGAAAAATGATATAGACTGCACATTTGACACATGTTTTTCATTAATGTTATCATATATAAACATAGTCGTGTTTTGTAAATACGTAAGACATATCAGCTCCCTCATGAGAAAATTTGCTTAACTATTGGGATTACCGCCATGGCTAAATACATCAATGGGATTAACCTGGACATCCTCAAATGGGCGCGCGAACGTTCTGGTTACACCGTGGATACGATTGCCAATGCTGTGAACAAAGATGTCTCAATTGTCAATGATTGGGAGTCTGGGGAACGCGCGTTGACTTATGTTCAGCTTGAAACGTTAGCTGACAAATACAAGCGTCCTATTGCCATTTTCTTCTTTCCGGATCCCCCTGAAGAACCGAACATTGCCGAGCATCTTGAGCAAGGATTCACATGAAGATAAGGCTGAATTTTCTAACATTAGTTCAGGAAACTTAAGGCAATACCTTCGCCAAAACTGGATCGCTTTCTGTTCTCACTGCGAAGCAATAGCACTCCGCTGGAGTGCGGGAGTTTCAAGCAACGGTTTTCTATAGACATAGCACTCCTCTGGAGTGCGGAAACGTATCTGTCCCTAAAAAAGGGCTGCCAAACACTTTACACACCCGGTTGAAGTCTTTACATCATCTAAAATACTTCCGCAAAAACCTGAAGATATTTTTATTTATCAAATCCTTGAACATCACGGATCAAAGGGCTCCATTCACTACACATCTATTCAGCTCAAACTCAGATAATTGGCGAAGGTATTGTTAAGGGAACTAACAATGAAATATGATAACGTAAACCGTACTTTTGATTGTGAACCGACGCTCACCGATACACAGGTGCTACAGTTCTGCCGGGATGGCTATCTGCAACTCCAAGGGGTTGTCCCAGACGAAATCAACCAGCGGGCTTGTGACTACCTCAACGGCGATTTGCCGATAAATCCGTGCTTCATGCCCGACGGGATGACGCATGCCGATTTAGAGCGGATGCGAGATACGCACGAACCGAGCTCCATTCTGCTTGAGGACTGGTACATTGAGCATGTGCTATTGAATCGTGAACTCGCTGGCGCATTGCGCTCATTACTCGGTAAGGATGTCGGGTTACCCGTGTTAGTAAGCAACCATCGGGTTGAATGCCCGATGCCTGCCCAAGGCTGGCACCAGGATGCAGATCACGTTTTTGGGCCCGAAACCAATTTTTTGGAAGTCTTTTACTTCCCACAGGATACACCCCTGGAAATGGGTCCGACAGAGCTTCTGCCGGGTTCACATATCCACTCCACAAGCCGAGATATAAACGAAAAAGGTGTTTCAAGCGGCGGTCCTGCGCGGTTCTTTCGTTATCCATTCACAAAGTATTCTTCATCGGCGCGGTGAGTCCACAGCAGAAGGGCTGCGCCACATGTTGAAATACAGCTATTGGCGAACGGTCCCACCCACACAGGATTGGAAAGAAGAGCCAGAATTTGACCTCCAAACCGCTGAATATGGCGGACACGGTGTGGCGAGATACGTGGCACACATGTTCTACTGGCTCTGCGGCAAAGGTGACGAATTCCGTCTCATCGGCGGACAAGCGTGGCCCTGGTCGAGTGTGAACCAAATCGGACCCTCCTACGGCTTTGGACACAAAGAAGGCTATCTCCCGAACTGGCGGAAAAACAATCCGGATGATTACGCAACGCCATTTTCCTAATTTACCTTGCGGTTCGGTGAAGTGCGTTTAGATTACACAGTGCGTTTCCGTAGATCTGAAGAAATACCCAAGCAAAAACCCCTCCATTTCATTACGGGCTGCTGACACCCATCAAGAACCTGCGCGTAACGTAGTGGAGCGCAGCCCAGGGACCATCGTTAAAAATCTCACTACGATACGCTGTGCTCCACAAGGTTATCAACTCAATACATCGAGTTCAATACGAAAACGCTTTTCAGTGGTAGCAAGCAAATTTTCGATGACTTTCTCTGTGCTTCCAGACTCCGCAACAAGGATTTCCATTTGTTCGACTGCAAAAGACTGAACATGGCTAAAACAATTCTTAGAAGATTTGTCGAGATGATTCCCAACGTTTAAACTCAGCACCAACAAAAGCGCGCGTTCCAATCTTTCAATGCGCTCGTCCCGCGCTTTAAGTTCTTCCAACATATCCATTTAGATTTACCGATCCCCAGTCCATTTATCCCCCTGCGAAGGTGGGAGGGTGCCAGACGGACCGCGCTGTCCGTTTTGCAGTACCACCCAAACTGGTTTGAATAGTATATCACAAGAAAAAAATAAAATTACAGACGGAAGTGTACGGTGCCAGTCGCGAAATACTTTTCATGGAAAGATTGTCTGAACTTCCGCAAGTTATATGCTGAGAAGAAATCGCGATCGGGAGATCACTCCTTAAAAGAGATAGTGTTAATTTTACCTAAGTTGCCACTTTTTATTCACATAGCACCCCTACGGGGTGCAGTTCCTTGAATATCCGATTTTCTATAGACATAACACCCCTACGGGGTGTAAAGAGAAGATTTTATGGTAGATTTAAGAATAGGACTTACGCATTTCCTTTTAAAGTCCCCCTGATAAGGGGGATTTAGGGGGTTAAATCACTGAAATAACCACTTTTTTGGCGAAACATATTGCTTTTTTACGCAATTTGCGTAAGTCCTGTAAGAATTAATTGGACCCTCTAAAGAGGCGAGGTTAGAAACCTCGCCAGCGGAAACCTTGGTGGATAGGTATCAACTTGGTTAATTTTCGGAGATAACAAGCACCTGATTCGTTTCAACGTCCTGTAAGGTTTGGACTTTGCCACAGAGCCACCGCACCGTCAGTGTATCAACCGATGTCGCGGCTCCCAACCCAAAATGTAAACGGAGATCGTTTTGACTGAGGTAGCCCGAACCGCTTTTGACCTCACGCATCTGAGTCAACCCCCCGGAAACAACGGTCACACGCGCCCCAATCGCATCTCGGTTGCAATGTGTACCGATGAGTTTGATACCCAGCCACTGCGACGCGTTGACACCGTCGTTTCGCAAAACGGTCGGCGTGTCTTTGAGGTTGGAGATAACAATGTCGATATCCCCATCGTTATCAATATCGCCGAAGGCAGTACCTCGACTCACTTTTCGCTGTGCTATCGCTGCGTCAGGGATTCTCCGTAAAATTGACACCCCGGTCACTGAGAAAAAGTTGATTCGGCTGTGCATACGTACCAATCGGATCGATCTCCGCGATATTGTCATCCAGATGACCATTGGCAACAAACAGATCCAACCAACCGTCATTGTTAAAATCGCTGAAATCGACACCCCACGCCAAATAGGGAAGACTCCTCTCACCGATCCCCTTGGCGAAACTCATCTCGGTAAAGAACCCACCCTGTGCATTGTGATAGAGGCTATTCGTCTGATCCTGAAAATTCGTAATCACGATATCGAGATAGCCATCGTTGTCAAAATCGCCGAGGTTTGCGCCCATCCCGCTATAGGCACGTCCTTCCTCACTGAGCGCAACGCCTGCGAAAAGTGCGTCCTCCGTCATCTTAACACCGTTCCGTTCGTTGCGATAGAGAAAGTTCGGCGTTGTATCGTTCGCAACAAAGATATCAACATCTCCATCGTTATCCACATCACCACAGACAACGCCTAATCCCTTTCCATTTGTCGCGCCTACTCCTGATTTTTCTGAGACATCCGTGAAGGTGCCATCGCCGTTGTTACGGTAGAACACATCGGCAACACCGGGGAGTGCTTCCGGCGTGCAATACGTTGGAATCCCCTGTCGAGTGCATTCTGGGTTCGTATCTGGGTCGAATTGAACATAGTTGACGACATAGAGATCCAGATAACCATCGGCATCAACGTCTACAAAAGCACAGCCACTACTGAACTGATCGCCATCAACGCCAGCAGTGTCAGCGACATCCGTAAAAGTGCCGTCTCCATTGTTGCGATAAAGCACGTTTGGACCGTAGTTCGTTACATAGAGATCCGTGAAACCGTCGTTGTTGTAATCGCCGACGCAGCCCCCTAACCCATAGCCTGTATTACCGACAGAAGCCTTGTCCGTTATATCGGTGAACGCACCATCGTCATTGCGATAAAGACGGTTTGTCGGTGGAATAGAAGAGGATATTCCCGGCAAATCGCTACCGTTGACGAAATAGAGATCTAAATCCCCGTCATTGTCAAAATCGAAGAGGGCAACGCCACTGCCGATCGGTTCAATAAAATGCTTCTTGCCACTCTCACCGTTAATATGCCGAAATTCGATGCCGAGTTCCGCAGTTACATCGGTGAAGCGCACGTCTTGGTTTCGTGAAGGAACGGGTTGTGCGAATGAGGGTTTCAGCACGGCGTGTAAGATAAAGAGGATAACAGTAAAACCGATTGTGGGTATCGTCAATTTTTTGTAACGCATAGTCTGTGTATATGGTATAATGGTTATCAGCATATTGGCTATCGGCAACCAGCCGTCGGAAACCTTCAGTTAAGAGGTTTTCTGGTGAAGTTACACCCTCTTGCTGATGACTGACTGCTGATGGCTGAGGGCTATTCCCTTGACGACTTATAAAAAAGGAGAATTTCTAATGGCTAATACTCTACGTTTTGGTGTTGTCGGTTTAGGTATGGGCATGAACCGCTCTGGTGTAATTCACAGTACAGACGGAGCAGAACTCGTTGCTGTAGCGGATCTCGTCGAAGAGCGGCGCAAGGCAGCTGAAGAACGTTTCGGCTGCGAAAGCCACGACGATGTGCTTGAGATGTTCGATCGCGACGATATTGACGTGGCAATGATTATGACTCCAAGCGGTCTCCACGGAAGATTTGGAGAGGAAGCCGCACGCCGCGGTAAACACGTCATCACCACAAAACCGATGGATGTCAGCGTCGAAAATTGCAACTCCCTTATTAAAACATGTGAAGACAACGATGTCAAACTGCTTGTTGACTTTGGAGAGCGATACGGCACACATAATCGTCAAATCCAGCACGTACTCGCAACAGGTGCTCTCGGTAGACCGTTGCTTTGTGAACTCCGCATGAAGTGGAAACGTCCGGATAGCTACTACGTCGGTTGGCACGGCACGTGGAAACTTGACGGTGGCGGCTCTATTATGAACCAAGGTGTGCATTACATCGATCTGATGCTCTGGTTCATGGGTCCCGTCAAACACGTTATCGGTGCGCACTTCGATGTCTACGATCACGAAAATTGTGAAACCGAGGATATGACCTCGGCGATCCTCGAATTTGAAAGCGGCGCGCTGGGTCACGTTCTGACAACAACGACTTTTCCCGGCAGTAGCATCTCAATGATCCACGTCCACGGCGAAAAAGGGATTGTCGGTCTCGGACCGGACATGTGGGAGTTCGTCGATGATGAACCGAACATCGAACTTCCGCCGTATCCGAACAGTGTGATTGAGGATGCACTCCAAGTCATCAACGACGGTGGTTCACCGGCAGTTGACGGCTATGAAGGCAGACGCTCTGTCGCACTCAACATGGCTATCTACGAATGCGCACGGACCGGCAAAGCGGTCGAATTATCATAGACTTCTCTCCGAGGCGGGTCTCGGTGCCCGCCCATTTTCTGTCATGTTTCAATTCGCCAAAAAACGTTGGGTTTCACTCGGTATCTCTGCAATGAGACGTATGAACTATGGTGAAAACGACAATTATTTGGACACTGCCACTGCGCGATAAATGCCGCCCCTACGGGGCTTAGGATCGCGGGGAAACGACTGACTTTCTACATAGATGTCGTCCCTACGGGACTAAAGACACTCTTCAACAGTATGTCTACGTATTTTTAGGTCCACCATAAATATCAATTGTCTTTGACATGCTAAGGCCTCATCAGTATTTTTCTTAGAGATACAGCATACCTTTTCAGGACACATAGCACTCCGCTGGAGTGCGGGAGGGTCAATATACCGTTTTCTATAGACATAGCACTCCGCTGGAGTGCGGGAGGGTCGATATACTGTTTTCTATTCTCACTGCGAAGCAATAGCACTCCGTATGAAGATTAAGAATTTAATCGGGTAACACCGACTTTCCCCAGACCCGGTAGGTGCGGTATTTTTCTCAGAGTTCCGTGAGTGTTTGCAACCCTCGGAAAAACACACACGCCTTTGAAAACTCAACTCACATGCAACACGAATTGTCCAAACTTTAGTATAAACGAGTAATATCGAGTAACATGTAGCGTTCATTGTCTGAATTAGGATTTACAGGATTAGAGGATGGACAGGATTAGAGACGCTTCTTGATTCATGACTCCCTTTGCAACATTACCAAAACTATTTTCTCAGATTTCATAAAACCGCACCCATCTTCTCGGATAACTATCTTATTTGCAATTCAGGTAAAAACTTGGTATAATATCTACCGACACACCAGAGATTCATCTGATACAGGACTTACGCAATTTTGATCATAGCCCGCGTTGTGAGATGAAGGCACCTGTAAAAAACACAGCTGGTTCCAGGGCACAGACTAACAGTCTATGCTACAAAAGAGCGACATGCGTAAGTCCTATGATAGATACTTAAAAAACGGACTCTTTCGCGAAGCCGTACCGAATGTAACAGGAAACCATTTTTTTGACACCGTCAAAAAATGAGCAGGAAGCCCCATAATTAAAAATATGAAAACCGCAAAACTGATTACGATGGGCTGCAAGGTCAACCAATACGATACACAATCCATGCGCGAGACGCTCCGACGCAACGGATATACTATTGTTGATAACGAGACATCACAACAGCAGGCTGACCTCTATCTCATCAACACATGCACAGTAACAAATGCCGCCGACCAGAAAGCACGGCAAGCCATCCGGAGAGCGATCCGGCAGCACCCGAACGCAAAAGTGCTCGTCACAGGTTGCTATGCTGAAAGCGACCGCGAGGCGATTGAAGAGATACCCGGCGTGACGTTCGTTTTCGGTAACCGAGAAAAGGCGGATTTTCAGCAGTATCTCGATGTATTGCATACCGAAACAGCATCTGGGGCGAGGTTAGAAACCGCGCCAGCAGAGGCACCTCACACGCTCAACCCACTCCTCGCTATAGAACCCGTCCAACACGATGCGGTTCGCGAACACGCACGCTTTAGTAAAGGTGTCAGTGATGCCGGCAAACGCACGCGTGCGCTCATCAAGGTGCAAGACGGATGCAGTGCCTTCTGTACCTACTGCATTATCCCGTATGTGCGAGGTAGGATGACAAGCCGTCCACTCAATGACATCGCCGATGAAGCACATCGCATCGCTGACAGTGGTATCAAAGAGGTGGTCATCACCGGCGTGCATCTCGGTGCTTACGGCGTAGACACCGATAGGGAAAAAGACATCGCTGACATTTTAGAGCATATCCACGACATTGGAGGCATCGAACGCATCCGCTTCAGCTCGATCGAACCGATGTATTTTCCAGATACCCTTGGCGAACGGATGGCGGCACTTCCAAAATGCATGCCGCACTTTTCATCTCCCACTCCAAGCCGGTTCAGATGACGTGTTGCGACAGATGCGTCGGCGTTACACCACGGCAGAATTCGCACATCTCGTTGAGAACTTACGACGCGTATTTGGCGATGATGTCGGGATTACTACCGACATTATGGTCGGGTTTCCCGGCGAAACGGATGCCCACTTTGAGGAGTCATGTCAATTCGTCAAGGACATCGGATTCAGCCAACTGCATGTGTTCCGCTACTCCCCTCGAAAAGGCACACCTGCGGCGACCTACCCGGATCAGGTGTCTCCACACGTCTCTGCAGCACGCAGCCAAGCGATGATTGCTCTTGGCGAACGCCTGAACATAGCGTTTCGACAACGGATGCTTGGGAAGCAGAAAGAGGTGCTCATCGAAGCGAGCAGAGAAGGGGACAAACAACCACCTCGCAGGCTTTACTGACAACTATCTCCGTGTCCTTGTGGATGCCCCAGAGAGCGCAATCAATCAGATCCAGAGCGTTACTCTCGGTGCGTTAGAAGGGGATTGCATCGCTGCCGCCTAACCCTCAGATTCCTCCGCCTTCGCCTTCAAATCATAGAGAATATTCACTGCATCCAAGGGGGTTACCTGCGTGAGCTCCAACCGTCGGATCTCTTCGACGAGTGGATGCGTCTTCGGTGTAAAGAGTGCCAGCTGTAGGGAATCGCTCTGCAGCGTTTTTCGGGAGACGCGGCGACGCGGTTTCGGCATTGTCGGATGTGCTTTCGGCGGTTGTCCGGTCGCCCCATCCGCTTCAACGCTGAGATTGTGCTGTTCAAGCACCTCAAGTATCTGCTGTGCGCGTGTGATCACAACTTGTGGTAATCCTGCGAGCCGTGCGACGTGGATACCGTAGCTTTGGTCTGCGCCACCGGGAACAACTTTTCGGAGAAAGGTTACCTTCTGTCCATCTTCATGAACGGCGACATTGTAGTTCTTGGCGCGTTTATATTTGCTGGCGAGTTCCACCAACTCGTGATAATGCGTTGCGAAGAGCGTTTTCGCGCCCATCCGCTTTTCATCTAAGAGATACTCCGAAACCGCCCATGCGATGCTGAGTCCATCAAACGTGCTGGTGCCGCGTCCGACTTCGTCAAAGATAACGAGGCTGTTGCGGGTGGCATTGTTGAGGATATTCGCCGTCTCGTTCATCTCAACGAGGAAAGTACTCTGCCCCATTACGAGGTTGTCCGATGCACCGACCCGTGTGAAAATCCGGTCTACCAAGCCGATCTTCGCAGCGGAGGCAGGCACAAAACACCCAATCTGTGCCATCAAAACGATGAGTGCCGTCTGACGCAGATACGTGCTCTTGCCGCTCATGTTCGGTCCTGTGATGATATGTAATTGCTCATCATCGCAGTTGAGTATCGTATCGTTGGGCACAAAACCCTCTTGCGTGAAGAGTTGCTCGACAACGGGGTGCCTGCCATCACGGATAACGATTTCGTCCACCGCCGCCACGGTAGGCTTCACATAGTTATATTTCGATGCGATATACGCGAAATTGGCAAGGACATCAGTCATCGCGAGTGCTGCTGCGATTTTTTGAATAACTTCCGTATATTTCGAGACATCCTCGCGAATCTGACAGAAGAGTTCATATTCCAGTGTCCCTATTCGATCCTCGGCGTTGAGGACCTTTGCCTCCTGCTCCTTGAGTTCAGGGGTAATGAACCGTTCGGAGTTCCGAAGCGTCTGTTTACGGATATAATGCTCAGGCACCATGTTCAGATTCGGATTCGTCACGTCGATGTAATAACCGAAGACCTGGTTAAATCCAATCTTCAAGGATTGGATACCGCTGCGTTTACGCTCCTCTTCCTGCATAGCGACTATCCAGTCCTTTCCCTGTCCTACAATCTGCCGAAGTTCATCGAGTTCCTCGCTATAACCGTCATTTATGACGCCGCCTTCACGGATTGTCGCGGGTGGATTCGGATGGATGCCGTGTTCAATCAACGCAATTAAGTCTGGAAGCGGATCTAAAGTATCATTGAGGGATACCAACAAGACACTACTGCAGTTTTGGAGCTGCGCCTTAACATCGGGAATCAGACGGAGGGAATCCTTGAGCGCATGTAGGTCGCGTCCGTTCACAGAACCGAGGCTGATACGGGAAATGAGTCGCTCGATATCGTACATCTGTCCGAGTGCATCCCGCAACTCCTCCTGCAAGTTAATCTGGGTTTTGAGTTCGTCGACTGCGCCGAGGCGTTCCTCAATCTCTTTTTCATCAAGCAGCGGTTGCAAGAGGCACTGACGCATCTTCCTGCCCCCCATCGCCGTCACCGTTTGATCCAAGACTTCGAGGAGTGTGCCTTTCGTCGAGCCGTCGCGGATAGAGGCTGTCAGTTCAAGGTTGCGCTGCGTATCGGCATCCAGCACCATAAAATCCGAGAGCGTATAGGTGTGAAGGGAGATGATGTGTTCGACTTCCTGTTTCTGCGTCTCATTCAGGTAATAGATGAGGGCACCGGCGGCAGAGATGGCAGCCGGAAGGTGTTCACATCCGAATCCGTCGAGCGAAATCGTTTGGAAATGTTCGAGGAGTTCCGTTCGAGCCGTATCCACTTCAAATCGCCAGTCGGGTAGGTCATTAAGTGTTGCCTTGAATTCGGTTTTGAGACGCTCAAACATCTCCTCATCCTCGAAGGAGTCGGCAAAGAGGCACTCTTTTGGGGAAAAACGGTGTATCTCCGCCCAGAGACGTGAAGGATCTGTGAGTTCGGTTACCAGAAATTCACCGGTGGAGAGATCCGCAACAGCGACACCGTAAGTGTCTTTGTTGAAATAAATCGAGACGATGTAATTGTTCACCTTATGCTCAAGCACCTTTGGGTCGGTTACAGTGCCGGGCGTAACGATTCGGACGACATCGCGCTTGACGAGTCGATTCTCGTCTCGTGCGAGTTTTGCATCCTCGGTCTGCTCCAAAATGGCGACTTTATGTCCGGCTTTGACGAGTTTGTAGAGATAGGAGTCGAGTGCGTGGTGAGGGATACCTGCCATCGGTGGGGGCGGGTTTTTCTGGTTTTTATGGCTTCTCGCTGTCAAGGCGATCTCAAGCAGGCGGGCAATGAGTTCAGCATCTTCAAAGAAGGCTTCATAGAAATCGCCCACTCGACAGAGCAGTATGGCATCTCCGTGCTGTTTTTTTACGTGTTTATAAAGCTCCATTAATGACAAATCCGAT